AAAAAAACAATATTCTCACGTGATTACTCAGGTGCTAATATGATAACATTTAGAAATCTGTTATTGTCAGAAGAGTGGTACGATACTTATAACTCTACTACGGTTGATGAAGCTTTCAATAACTTCTATGCCACTTACGAATATAATTTCCAAATGGCTTTTCCTCTAAAACGTAAATTCCTTAAAAACCGTAAGAAGCCTTGGTTTACTTCAGAAATAAAAGAGCTCCATCAAACTTTATGTGAAATGGCTAAAGTTGCAAAAATTACTAATATTGATGTTATGATACACCCAAAATCAATCTTATATCTAGGGCAACAAAACCACTGTAGACCAGTGATATAATTTAAAGTATAGGTGTCAATATAAACAACAAAAAAACACCTATATTAAATCACAGCAAAGTTCCATTGTAGTACGCTTTTGTTGCAAGGACATATTTAACATGATTTCTCAACTTTTTATAGCTTTTCTTCTTCCTAATTTCGTAAGGTATGTCATTATACAGTCTCTTACTTCCATAAATTATAAAGAATACTTTTGTCTGACTTGTTTTTGGAACAGGAAGATTCATTTTATTTTCTGTTGCTTGCCGGGATATGTAGTTTATATCTTCCGGAGTTCCAACCATATTTTGTTTTTATAAATCAGGCAAACAGTTTCAAGTATGAAAATACAAGTAATAGTGAGAATTTTTTCTCTCAAAAATAATGGTCTACATGGCATGCACTTCCACCTTGCATAAGTATCTAACCGCTTACTTTTACAAAACAAACACTGAATGAAAAAGTTGTTGACTGCAAAATCTCCAAAAGGCAACACCATATGTCAATTGGGGCTTAATCAGGGAATGATATACCGTTTTTGTTGTGGATGGACTCAGTTCATTTGAAACTATTCGAAATGCATAACATCCTGATGCCTACATCATTATTATCTTTTTTTTTTAACCATTTAAAATAAAAATGTTCTTTTACTCATTTTATTTTTGAATCAACTTCTGTATTTTTTTTTGAACATTTGCAAATTTCTGTAATCTTGATCTCTTTCCTCAGCAGCACTTCGAAGAGGACTCGCAGAGAATGAAATGGGACATAATACCCCTGCACTCTTCTCTGCCTAACGACGAGCAAGCAAAGGTGTTCAGGCCTGCGAAGCCGGGACATAGGAAGGTCATTCTGTCGACGAACATCGCCGAAAGCTCCATAACAGTACCAGATTCTTACTACGTCATCGATTTCTGCCTGACTAAAGTGATGACCGTCGACCCCATCACGAAGTACATGAGCTTGAAGCTGGAGTGGGCGTCTCACGTGAACTGCGACCAGAGATCCGGGCGAGTGGGTAGAATCGGAAACGGGCGTGTTTACCGGCTCGTACCCAGGAAATTCTACTCGAATAAGATGTCCGAGAAAAGCCTCCCCGAAATCCTCAGGGCCCCATTGGAGCGAATCGTGTTGCAAGCGAAGTTACTCAATCTGAACAACACTCCCCAGCAAATCTTAGCTCTGGCTCTGAACCCGCCGAACTTGAGGAATATCGAGTTAACCGTGTTGAGTTTGAAAGAGAGCGGAGGCCTGCTGCAGACTTGCAAGGGGAAGTATTCCGCGACAGATGGAGACATCACTTTTTTGGGTAGGGTCATGGCTTTGCTGCCCGTTGACGTACGTTTGTCGAAATTGATTGTTTTGGGGCACTTGTTCAGTTGTCTCGAAGAAACCATCATCATGGCTGCAGGTTGTTCCATCCAGAATATATTCTCTATACCGTTCCAGCAGAGGTTCAACGCTTACAAGAAGCTGCTCGTGTGGGCTGACGGTTCTTTCAGCGATTTGATTGCCTTGCTGAATTTGTTCCAGGTATGAAATGTTTAGACTGCTGAAAAAGTTTAGGAGTAGAGTGATATTATTCAATTGTCTTATATTTCTAGTCAGAATCTACACACATTTTCTGTTTTCATTTGTTATAAATGTACGTTAAACAGTTTTCAACTTGATGTTATAAGATATATTATTTATTTCATTTTCAACAAGCTTTATCAAGAATGTACTTTGTTATGAATCATATTGTCTCTCGCTCTGCCCCTCTTCTCCCGCCTTGACCTCCTTTTCCATTCTCAATCTCTTCCCACATCGGTCGCTCTCCCTCTCCCATTACCCTCCCCTTTTCCCCTCTCGTTCGCTCCCGTTGTCAATAAGAATGTACTTTCTTATAGAGCATATTCTCGCTCTCCTTTTCCCCTCTCACTAGTTCGCTTTATCAATAAGAATGTACTGTCTCAAAAAGCGTATTCTCGTCCTCACTTCTGTCATATCTCTCCTCTGTCCCTCGCTCTCACTCCGTCCTCTTTCACTCGCCATCACTCCCTCTTTCCCTTTCACTCGCTCCCTTAGTCAATAAAAATGTACTTTCTTACAAAGCATATTCTCGCTCACCTCTTCCCCTCTCACTAGTTCGCTTTACCAATAAGAATGTCCTGTCTTATAAAGCGTATTCTCTTCTTCCCTTTCCTCATCTCCCTACCTCTCCTCTGTCCCTCGCTCTCACCCCCTCCCTCTCCTCTGTCCCTCGCTCTCACCCCCTCCCTCTCCTCTGTCCCTCCCTCTCACCCCCTCCCTCTCCACTGTCCCTCGCTCTCACTCCCTCCCTCTCCTCTGTCCCTCGCTCTCAATCCCTCCTCTTTCTTTCGCCCCCACTTCCTCTTTCCCTCTCGCTTTGTCAATAAGAATGTACTTTTTTATAAAGCATATTCTCATTCTCTCTCCCTCCCTCCCGCCCCTCTTTTTCTCCATCTTCCACTTTCGTTCGCTCNTCTTTCCCGCTCGCTCGCTTTGTCAATAAGAATGGACTTTCTTATGAAGCATATTCTCATCTTCTCTCTCCTTCCCGCCCCTCTTTTCCTCCCTCTTCCGCTTTCGTTCCTCGCTTTGTAAATAAGAATGTATTTTCTTATAAAGCATATTCTCGCTCTTCTCTCTCTCTCCCTCTTCCCCTTTCCATCACCACCACCTCTTCCCATCACCATCTCTGCCCCCATCCTCTCCTCTTCTCCTATCTTCTTCCCTTTTTCTCTTCCTCCCCTCCACCCCTTTCCCCTATATTCCTTTCTCCCCCCTCTCATTCAAGTCTATAGATATATACGTGTATGTATCAGGATATCTTTTTCAATAAAGCTATTAACAACATTATTATTATAAAGCTACTTTATTATCGTTATTAGTACACATCTCCTACGTATAACCAACCCCTCAACCGTTCCAGGTATGGCAGTCGTGCAAGCGTGAAAACCAATTCGACAACTTCCAATCGGAGCACCGCTGGTGCAGCATGAACCTAGTGAGCTACCGAGGCCTGCGGGAGTGGAGCCTCCTCGTCAACGAGATCAGCCAACGTCTCGGGCAACTGAATATCGCTGCGATGCCGAACCAGGTGCAGCTGGGGCCCGACGAGAGGGCGCTCGTGCTCAAGATACTCGCGGCGGGGGCGTTCTATCCGAACTTCTTCATCAAAACGCCGGAATCGATGCAGATGGAAGAACGCGAGGCCGTCAAGATGGTCGGCGGGAGAAATCCGTTCCGGTCGGTTTACTTCACCGGTATGGATCAGACACAGCCGGGGCCCCTGTATGTTAGGTATGGTGATAGTGATTTTTGTTAGATGTCGGGATCGTGAATCTTCACGTAGGGTATGCATATTTAATAAACGTGTCAGTTGAACAAGGAATTTTACCAGACAAACTGGACTAGTATGGGTATACGACCACTTTTACTTGTCTGTCACCATTTTGAAACACTGTCCCTAGAAAATCTCCATAGCAATCGCGGGTACCCTCTTGATGAGTTTTTTGTAATCCTCGATCAATCGTGAGAGGTTATTTTCATCTGAATTGATCTCGACTTGCCATACTTATCCCTAATTAGCCTATGGCTAAGCCTCAGTAAGATGGTTGTCAATTTTCTGCCGTTCTTTGCAAACTAGGCCACACTTGACGTGGTTCAACGGAAAAACCATATTTCGCCTAGCTGACCCGTCTACAAGGTACAAGATTTGAAAGTTGATATATTTTCGTCTGATCTTTCTGTTGGTCTTAATTGCGTGAGTATTTTCTCTAACTATGAGAAGATTGGGGGCGTTGAAGTAGTTTAGGGGGGCGATGGCTAATTTAAAAATGTTTTTTTGCTTTTAACACAAACTTTAACCGCTCCTTCATGCTTAACGCGCGTTTCCTCGTGTAATGCCATCTAGGGGACTAGACAGTAACTATTTCCTGTCCGATAGTTGTCAAACTGTACAATAGATGGCGGTAAGCTTCAATGCGAAGCAAGAAGTTTCTAGTCTCCATTCTCGAAAATACTAGGCCAGATGAAGCCATACAATGGCTTCTTCAAAGAAGGTTGGAATCCAAAATTGGCTGCGATCCAAAGAATATTAGCTTTGACAACTCAATGCTAAGAGTACAGCTACTAAAAATTGTCAAGGAGCGCAAGCTTGAATACCAAAAAAATTANGGGACCGCGTTAAGGTCGGCAACCTGTACGCGACGAGGTACTCGGAAGATAACATGTTCTACCGCTGCCAGGTGATCTCTCTGTCGCAGGACATGGCACAGGTGCTCTTCATCGACTACGGCAACATCCAGCAGGTGCCGCTGAAGGCGCTGTACTCCCTGCCGAACATTCCCGGGAGGAAGGAGTGCGACATGGCGCCCCTAGGAGTAGAGTGCTTGCTACACGGAGTACAACCATCGAGGAAGGTAAGAGAGAGTGAGTGAAAGGCGATGGAAAAGTTTCTGGTACAAAAGAGTGAAGTTTTAGAGAACTTTGATATGGTTCAATATCTCTCATTGCATTAGAAACTATCTCTCCGGAATCTCAGTCAAACTTTCTTGATACATATATCGTAGAGTCTCTCATCACACAAGCCCCTTTTCTATATTCTTATCCCAAACTCTCTCATCGCATCAGATGGTCCTTCCAAACTCTCTCATCGCATCAGAAACTCTCTCTTATCATCTTATTACATCTAAGCATCACCAAAACCGTCTTTTCACATCTGAGGCTCTTCCAAATTCTCTCACTGTAACAGAGATTCTCTCATACTCTTTCATCACAACAAAAGCTTTCGTAATCTCTCTTATCGCATCAGATGTTCCTTCAAACTATCATATCGTATCTGAGTCTCAGAAAGTTTGAGAGAGCTTCTGATATGAGTTTGGGGAGAACATAGAAGTATTAAGAGAGTTTTGGAGAACATCTGATGGAATCAGATAGTTTTGGAGAGCCTCTGATATATTAAGGGGGTTTTGGAGAGCCTCTGATGCGATAAGAGAGTTTTGGAGAGCATCTGATGCTCAAAGATAGTTTTGGAGAGTCTCTAATGTGATAAGATAGTTCTGGAGAGCCTCTGATGTGATGAGATACATTTGGGGAGCCTCTGGTGTGATAAGATAGTTTTAGAGAGCCTCTGATGTGATGAGATACATTTGGGGAGCCTCTGAAGTGATAAGAGATTTTTGGAGAGCTTCTGACGTGATAAGATAGTTTTGGAGAGCCTCTGATGTGATAAGAGAGTTTTGGAGAGTCTCTGATGTGATAAAAGAGTTTTGGAGAGCCTCTGATGTGATGAGATACATTTTGGGGAGTCTCTGATGTGATAAGTGAGTTTTGGAGAGCCTATAAGCTCAAAGATAGTTTTGGAGAGTCTCTGATGTGATAAGAGATTTGTGGAGAGCTTCTGATACTATAAGATAGTTTTGGAGAGTCTTTGATGTGATAAGAGAGTTTTGGAGAGCTTCTGATGTGATAAGATAGTTTTGGAGAGCTTCTGATGTGATAAGATAGTTTTGGAGAGCCTCTGATGTGATGAGATACATTTGGGGAGCCTCTGATGTGATAAGTGAGTTTTGGAGAGCCTCTAATGCTCGAAAGATAGTTTTGGAGAGTCTCTGATGTGATAAGAGATTTGTGGAGAGCCTCTGGTGTGATAAGATAGTTTTGGAGAGTCTCTGATGTGATAAGAGAGTTTTAGAGAGCCTCTGATGTGATAAGATAGATTTGGAGAGCCTCTGATATGATGAGATACATTTGGGGAGCCTCTGATGTGATAAGATAGTTTTGGAGAGCCTCTGATGTGATGAGATACATTTGGGGAGCCTCTGATGTGATAAAATACATTTGGGGAGCCTCTGATGCGATAAGATAGTTTTGGAAAGTCTCTGATGTGATAAGATAGTTTTGGAGAGCTTCTGATGTGATAAGATAGTTTTGGAGAGCCTCTGATGTGATGAGATACATTTGGAGAGCCCCTGATGTGATAAGTGAGTTTTGGAGAGCCTCTAATGCTTAAACATAGTTTTGGAGAGTTTCTGATGTGATGAGAGAGTTTTGGAGAGCCTCTGATGTGATAAGATAGTTTTTGGAGAGCCTCTGATGTGATGAGATACATTTGGGGAGTCTCTGATGTGATAAGAGATTTTTGGAGAGCCTTTGATGCTTAAAGATAATTTTGGAGAGCCTCTGATGCGATAAGAGAGTTTGAGTGACTATTGGGCGTGATAAGACAATTTCATTGTGTTTCTAATGTAAGTAAAGAGTTTGGGAGATTCTCTAACGCAATAGTTATTTTGGGTGAGGTTTACATGTGATAAGACAGAGAAGATGACAAGTCTCAGAAGCGATGAGATATTTTAAGGAAACCTATGATGCGATAAGAAATATTTAGGGAGCCTTGATTAAGAAGTTTTTGTGAGTCTCAGATACAGAAGTTAATGTGGGGGGGAGCTCTGATGCGATAAGAGAGAATGTAAAAATCACTGTTGGAATAAGAGAGTTTGGGAGAGTCTTTCTAATGATACAAGTATTTGCATGAGCCTCAGATGCGAAAAAATAGTTTCGTTGAGGCTCAGATGTAATAATGCAGTTTGAAAAAACTAATATGAGAGTTTGGAAGGGTTTCTGATGTGATAAGAGAGTTTGAGAAAGCTTCGAATTCACTAATAGAGTCTGGGTTAGAAATTTGGAAAAGTGTCTTTGGAAGAATCTATCTTCAATTTCCCAGCCTTTTGCAGGTTAATCCAAAAGGAGTCTGGTCAGAGAAAATAAACAACCACTGGAAGAACCAAACGATGAATGTGCTCCTCTACGCCAAAGTCCACTCAGTTGTTGACAATGTCCTCAACGTGGAAGTGTTTAAGAACCAGCCACAAACCCGCCAAGTGAAGTCAATAAACCAGCAGATGCTCGAGCTAGGCCACGCCGATCCTTCTATCGAAAGCTTCCTCTCCCGAGCGGACCACGAGAAGAGAATGGCCGTACTCAAGTCTGAAAACCCCAATATCGAAGCGGCTCGCCTAAGCGTTGACAGGGTATGTATATATATTTCTAGAGTGTTTTGTCAGAAAGTTTTTATGTATATGTGGATATTTCTTAGCTATACCTACCAACCTCTGACGTCTACTACTGCTACTACTATTATGCTTTCTCCTACACAGATCGTCGACTACCGCGACTTCGACGGGCCCCGCGCCAGAGGCGCCAACTGCAAGACCATCGTACTGAAGGGTCCGTTCAGCCCACTCGAGATGAGCCTCTACGGATGCGTGGAGAGCGCCAAAGACAAGCACGTCGTCGTCGAAGGGTCTTCGGTGAACTCGGTGCTGCTCGACAGCGAGCCTCAAGACGACCACACAAGGCTGCTTGTTGCGGCGTACGTCAGCCAGAGCGGGGAGAGCTCAAAAATCAATCTGAGGCAGACGACGCTCATGCCGAACGTTCCGGGGTTACCGACGCTGCTCGCGCTCCTCTTCTGTCCGACGATGAAAGTCAAGGTGAGAGATTTTAGTCTGTCTCGTGATCAAGTTATAATAATAATAATACTTTCATCCCAAAATTCTGTGTCCTGTAATCGAGTCTAGTGCCTGTTTGGACAGTAAAGGTTTTTTTTTTTACTTTATTTTCTTAGTGACTTGCCGAGACATGCATAGAATTTGTCAGTAGCTAATTGCCTATGAATTTCTTTTTTTTTTACTTTGTATTATTATCCACAAAATGAATGAATGAATCTTCATTGATACTACACAAAACACAAGCACTACAGGATCTTCCTGTAGTGATTGTGTTGAATATTCATTCGTTCATAAAATCGTATACAAAACCCGTTCCATCTAAGGTAGTCTTTCTCAAAGAGAGCTATAACGCCCCCTTGTGGGCGCCGGAGGCCTATAGGGGGGCAGTAAAGGGCACAGAGAAGATTGGGGGGCGTTGAAGAGGTTTAGGGGGGCGATGGCTAATTTAAAAAAAGTTTTTTTGCTTTTAACACAAACTTTATCGCTCCTTTACGCTCAACGCGCGTTTCCTCGTGTAACGCCATCTAGGGGACTAGGCAGTAACTATTTCCTGTCCGATAGTTGTCAAACTGTACAATAGATGGCGGTAAGCTTCAATGCGAAGTGAGAAGTTTCTAGTCTTCAGTCTTGGAAGTACTAGGCCCGCCCGCTGCCTCATATAAAAGCGCGCGCGCCATCCAGCCAGTAATGTCATTCGACGATATTACGAAAACAACTTACAAGAGAATTTAGTTAGCGACTAGCTAGTTTAAGTGCTGTATGTGCGAACAATGATTGTGATATGGGATATTGAATAATAAAAAAAACATATATGATCTACATACAAGATAAAATACATTTTAAGGGATGGCTAAATATGAATATATAAAATGTATGAATTATATATAAAACGTAAATGTATAAAATATATGAAGTATGATGTATAAAATGTAAAAAATATATAATGTTAATATATAGAATGGAATATAGATATTTGGATATATACCGTAACAATAAAATGGGAAGTTATATTCAATCACTGTGATTATCCATGAACAAATGCCTATTTTCAGCGATCAACTGAGTAAATTCTTGGAAGTTGTAAATACAGTTACTAGATAAAAATACATTTCAATTTGGATTTGAATATTTCTGGAGGTAAATCTCGAAATTGAGATGGTAAGTGGTTATAGAGTCCCGTATCAATTTTGGTGGTTTTTTGAAGCCTTGTTTTTGGTTCAACTATTCTGGTTTTGAACCTAATCCAACGCTTTTTGTGGTATTAGCCAGGGGAGTAGTTGCTTTCTGCTAGGCGTCAGTGCATTCAACCTACTGTGTAGGTATATTCGAAACTGGCTTGAACGTTTAAAGTTCATTTCTTTAGATTTGTTTACTGCCAGTCTTGAAGCATAGCCCACTGACTAATAAGAAAGTTTTCCTAATATTACAAAATGGTGTTTTACATTACCCTCATCAGAAAGTCTTATTTTCACATAACACACGTAATTTAATTATTAAAATAATGACTGTGATTGTGATTCTTGAGATGTAGTAAGTAAAAAAAATTGGGGGGCGCTAGAAAATAATTAATCTTGAAGTGGGCGGCAAACAAAATAAGTTTTAGAACCTCTGATCTAAGGAAAGGAACATGAAAGATAGCGAATGGTTCCCTCAATTTTACCATACTGTGAATCTTGTTATGAAGTATAAACAAACACAAATTTGTTGTAAGGTGACGAACGATTGCACAAGGGTCGCTTCGGTGCTCTGCGGTCTCGGCTGTAATCAGTTCACGAACAAATCGTTCTACCCGTCCCACGACCTGACTCTGGTGTGCGACACAGACCTGAAGGAGGAAGAGATCAACAAGATCAACACGGTGCGCTTCCACATGAACCAGGGCATCACGCTCATGGAAGACATATGCAACGGAGCATCTGCCCAAGCGGAAATGATCCGCAAGCAGAAGGCACTCAAGAAGCATTTGATTGAGTAAGTTTCGTTTATTCTATTTTTTTCTTCACCTTTCTTGCGAGGCGTAGGAACATTAGGTGTATATATTTTAGCTTTGGCAATACTGTGTATTATGAGGCGCCATCTGACGATTGTTTCTGACCGTAACATCATTTAAAACTTGTTGTTGTTTGCCAGAGATTCATGTCAAATATTACAGGCTAATTTTCTTATGAAGGTCCATTATACGGGTAGCAAATGAAAAAGTTTGATGAAAGTAATGTGAACACTATATGAGTGTGGTATGGTAGACCTCCTGAGATTTCCTTTGTAGTCTCATTGTATGGGTACCCAATATGACGGACTCTTAAAAAAAAAAACCTTCTACTTCTCTAGCTGTCTTTGATGTTGTGGGATCTATTGTTGAAGGATTCGAGAAGGGTGTGCACACTGCCATAACGCTTTTTGACTTGTGTAAGGCTTTTGATTGTGTATCATACGGTATACTTCTTAAAAAATTATATTATTATGGAGTTAGAGGGGTATCTTAGTCACTTATAGAATCGTACCTTTCAAATAGGTATCAGGTGGTTTCGTGTAATGGTATTACATCAAATTTTGAACCTATTGATCACGGTGTTCCACAAGGTTCAATACTTGGGCCCCTGTTCTTTGTTATTTATGTTAATGACATATGTAATTTCATAACTTTGATATATAGCGATCAATCATCATCTAACATTCCACAAGCAATGGNGCGATCGGAAACCAGTCCGTAGAACGAACCCCAAGAACGCGAACGTTTGGGAAACAACCAACCACGACGCCATCGAGCTGAAACCGGACCGAACGGACTCCGACGAGGGCATCTGGCCTCTGCTGTGGTTTGTCAGGCTGAAGAATTTCGGAGACTACAATCCGAACATTGGGAAGAATCTCGAGGACCTTGACCTCATGGCGCAGACCATGATACCCTCCTCGGAAACGGAGTGTCTGCTGTGCGAAGCAGTCCTTTTCGACGTACACGATGTAAGGTCCCACCTGATTTCGCCGGACCACAAGCGATCCGTCGCAGAATACTACAAGAAGCTGCAGGACGTTAATTTGTCCGAAGAGGAAGATTAGATTTGACAGAATTTTTTACGTTGTTTAGTTTGTAAGCTATAGTGACGTTATCAATGTTTTTGTTGATATTTTTATGTTCTTTGAGTTTAGTTTTTTAGAGTTTAAGTTAGGACAAACTGTTTTTGTTTGAGAAGTGCAGATGAAATAATTAGGAATAAGGAAGTTTTTTTTAACTCAATCCTTGGGAAAATGAACCCAACCCCGGTCCAATAAAAGAATTGGAAAACAAAAAAACAACGCAACCCCTTTGGGTGCAAAAAAACTTTCCAAAAAAACTAATTCAAGACTACTTGCTTTTTCTCCTACTTAGGTCTAATCCCAGATTAATCCCACACCTGACACCATTCAATTCATAAGTACATAGCAGCTTTTTCGTAGCGAATAACGTACTAGTATGTGTTTGTGGAGATCAAATCGTATAGTGTAGTTTATAAAATTACGGATCTTCATCAAGTAAAGGCCGTATCAATCAGAAAATTACACATTGAAATACGAAAGAAGTTCTTTATTCAGCAAGACGGAAAATATATTTTCACACCACACACAATAAAACCACATATCTATGAAAATAGGAAAAAATCAAGATAACTTCACACGAAGTATGATCGATATTTACAGCAAGTATTTAATAAAAATCTAAGATGCAATATCTACCATTTAAACGTATAAATCAATGAAAAATATCAGTCAACGGGTAATTTCAACGCTAAGATCTATGAAAAGGTGCATGAAACGCAAGATTGCTATAACAACTACCAATATAAATACAAAAATACTGGGGCTTTGACTGAAAACATACGAAATGAAGGTGTTCAAAACAAACAATTTTTGTGTCTAGTAAAGTACACACCTGACACCATTTTTTTAAATTAAATGTTGAAATTTTGATTTTTAATAATTTGAAGTGGTAAATATATCCAATGGGAGACGGAGAGCCCCACAACCTGATTGATATGTTCTCCCAGAGACAGTCATCAGTTCGAATGAGCATGAAAAATTAATCAGTACGCGAGTATTTCAAAGCCAATTCAATAAGCAGTTCAAAACATAACCGGAACCAACTAGACACAATCGGTTGCAATCATCCACTGTCTTCGGACAAACCCTTCCCCGTTAACGCTTGTATTGCAGAGGAGGTCTCGTTGACGTGCAAATAAATGCCAAACCCGCCGTGATTACAGACCAATGCAGCAAGGTAGCTTCTAGATGGATCATGAGGAACCTGATGGTGATCAGGATTCGTCTCCACACTGGATTCACCTTGTCCTTAGACAGAGTTGGTAACAAGTTTCTAGCTTTCAAGTAGTCGTTCAAAAACTGGGAATCCTCGGAGAAGACTGGCATATACTCGGAAACTTTCTGCCGTGTCCACCAGCCGTTTTGATTTCTGGAAAGAATGTCACGAACCGTCAGGAAATAGTTATTCAGAAACATATACGTTACAATATTCCAAATAATGATGTAACACTGAACCACTAGTTAATTTTATTTATACACATTGTTTGTCCGCGATGGACTCCTAAACTACTCAACCGATTTCAATCAAATTTGTACACCGTGTACAGTTTGATCCAACTTGAAANGCAGCCCAGTACATTTGCCAGTCGAGCTGAGGAGCATGTGGGGCTGCAAAGTAATCGACAGATATTAACAATTCATCTGAAGCACGATGCTTAGGAGGTTAAAATGACTTACCGACTTGCGGTAGAGTGGAGTTTACGTTTCCAGGCTTGAATAGAAAGTTGATTTCCTGCCAAGGGCCGTCGGCTTCTTTGGCCCCTTCGAAAACTATTTCGGACCTTCCGGAAACCCCCGGCATTTTGTTGAACAGTCCGTACTGATTGACGGCATGTAGCTTGTGGAGGCGATTGTAAGCTGAACGAACCATCGGATTGACGGTGGAGTTGGATGCGGAATGTAACGATGCCAAAGGTACCTGAAACAGTGGCAAAGGCTGCAGTTCCAAAAGACATCCCGTCGGACATGCAGGCTACTCACGGTGCTGGAAGAAAAGATGAGACAAGCAATAGCAGCATAAAAAATGGTTGACAAGGTAGCCAACAGTTTGTTTCCTTGATGGTCAAAAAGGGCAGCAGACAAAGCACTCAGGATTGTGGTGGTCAGCGACACCAGGCCAAAGTATATAGTGTAAGTCAGTGCTCGGGAGAGAACCATGTCGAATTGGCTCTTTGTGAATGCTGAAACATTATATTTGTCAGTTAAGTCGATGGCTTTCATAATAAATAAAATTTGTGGAAAAATAATCACATTTTGACTTGAATTTACTTCAACTTTCCAAAGAAACATAGTATGTTTCTTAGGAAAATAAACGTTACTATCAATTTTAACTAGCCAAACATTTGACTTACCTATGTCAGAATCAATTTGGCCGTTATTGAGTTTCAGCGAATAGAGTTGAATGACCCAATAGATCAACACCCCATGCACTACGACGTTAACCATTTTCCCAACCAAAGACCACGTGCTCGAAGATCTCCTCCTGTAGAAAAGCTGGTCGTCCAACAAGGACAGCAGCAAAGTCATCACCAAGACATTGGAGAAACCAAAGTTTCCAGTTAGAGCGATGCATATTTGTAGAAAGGCCTAGAGAAAAAAAAACGGTTGAATCCGTAAGCTCCGGGGGTCCAAAAAACAACTTACCTGTAGGAAGAATCCAGTTATGCGGACGCTCCTGATGGGCAAGAAAAACAAGAAAGGCAAACCAATCTCGCAAACGTTCGTGAAAACCTGAGTGACCTTGAGAAACCATTCTGGCAAATGGTGGGCGTACCACGACAAAGAGGTCGGCAACGGCATCACCTCGAAATAACGACTCAAAGCTGAAAATGAAGTTTTCATTAATTTTTTTTTGGTGGAAACTCATCTTCGTTTCCTCACCTTTCAAGCTCCACCACGAGGGGCAGCCACTCATCAACTTAGTCAGGCCCGTGGTGAGTAGAAATCTGAAGAGGAGCCATCGCACTAGCCAGAGAGTAATCAAGTCGCTGGGGGAGTCTCGGGAGCCCTTTCTGCGTCCTGGCAGCAGGGGAGCCACGAAAATTGCTAGAAAGCCAGTTTCGAGCAATAATTCGTCACTGAAAGTATAGTACAGTGTTTACAATGATAATTATGATACGTTTTTTATTTTCTTCAACAAACGCAATAACAATTTGGTAAGTTGCATTATCACTGGTTATAATTTATAAAAGTACAGTTTAAAAGAAACGCACCTCAACAATAAAAGCTACAAGTTGGCTGGAAACTTTTTAGAGAAAGTTCTCACTAGTTTTCAACGATGGGATGTTTTGAATAGAATTTTTGTCATTGTTCATAGTTCTCTCATTCCACATTCTGCCATTTCCAGACTCTCTTTGGATTTTTTTTCTTATTTGAGAAATGTATACATTTTTAACACGCTTTTATTAGCTTCACCTGTATGTATGTAACTCACCTTGCTTGATCTATTCGCGGGCAGATGGCGCTGTACTTAACTTCCTTGATATATCAACATGATTGCTTGATCTATTCACGGGCAGATGGCGTTGTACATAAACTAACAATTAGTGAGATAAATTCACTAAACTTACAATTGTACAATCATGTTCACTTGTCTCTGAAGTCACTGAGTCTTGCAAAATTTAAATCTACTATTGAAAAGTTTCTTCTCCAACACTGTTGTTTATAAAACTGAGGAATATATCGACGTGGCAGATCAGTTATTGTTGTAATATTGGTATTGATAATTCAGTTGACATTTTTTTATTTTAGGTACCTGTTACAAAATGTATCGATTACTTGAGAATGCTTTAAAAACCCGAAACCGGTCGTAACAAATAATAAACTTAATAGGATCAACTCAGAAGAGCAATTGAATGATGACTTGTCATCATGCAAACAACATATAACATACAACATCATACAACAATCAAATTGTAACTAAATAATCTGCTTGAGAAATGTATTTAAAGATAATAAAGACGATAGTATTATTATTAATTAGACAAAAGTATCTTCTTTATCCTATATTCTATACTCCTATTATTTTGTACTAGATGTAGATGTACTAGACACTAGTAACTCTGAACAAGGAATTCAGTATTTGTGACTTGCCATAGTATGTAAAATGGTCAGATAAGTTACTGTACTCTACTCTTTTCTCTCACCAAAACAAAAATTATGTCTTTGAAGCACGTTTCGCTAATCAAGTTATCATCATCAGGAAAAGATCTAAACTATTCTTATATATGCATCTACAGAAATTATCACCATGGATAATCAATCAATTAATTCCTAGTGTGCACGTTCCAAAATTGAAGGTTGACTCTTTCAGTTGTATTGCCAATTGCGTATGCAAGACATTTTCTGTGAAGATTCCTGCACTGACGCCTGTCGGATATAATCCAACGCCCTTCGTGGTATTAGCCAGGGGAGTAGTGGTCTTCTGATAGGCGTCAGTCCATTCAACCTACTGTGTAGGTATATTCGAGACTAGCTTGAACGTTCAAAGTTCATTTCTTTAGATTTAATTCCTAGTCATTTGTAATTGTCTTATTGCTATTTACTACCAGCGTGATATCTAATCCTTACCTGTATTTATATCAGTGCAAACAATAAGCTATTAGGAATGGGACCTTCATCACTGTTCACAGATATCATTTCACATTTTTTGATTTCTAAACTATCGACGGCATCTGAAAACTTGTTATGTACCAGTCTCAACAATTTGAAGCATTTCTCGTTTATTCTATGACCATTATCTATGGCATTTTAAGTAATACTGGACTTTTCTGATCTATAAAATCGAATACGTCAAACATGTTTCACAATGTGTTCTTGGAACCGAGATTTGATAGCTTGTTCAGTCTGACCAATATACTTTTTGTCACGGTCTTCACTAATTTATACATTTGAATACTCTACTCTGAACGTGGAAGAGATAATAATTTATTTCTGATGAAAATTTTGCTGTTATCTAGTCAGTATCATAAATGAGTCTTACTCTCGATCAGAAAAATATTGTTGAAATATTTACCGTATCCCCAAAGCAGTGTATTCAAGGATATAAATAAATGTGTCATTAAAATATGCTCACACTGTATTTGATTTGTTCAACTGCAAAAAATATATTCTTCAACAGTGGTTTTGGTTTTCAGCTGTGCAAATAATATGTTTTGTGATTTGATTTTAAACTTTTTTCATAGTGTCAATAACTTTTCTGTTTTTTTTTAATAGCAGCTAAATATATTAAAGTACAACCGAAGCTAGTGAACCTAGAATCTTGAAATATGCAGGTAGGTTCTTTGTATATCGTAAATAAGCATCGAGAAAGGAAATCAGGAATTACCACCCCCAAGAGGGAAAATAGAATGCCATTGAAATATGCCCACGAGATCACACTGTTTGATTTGCAGCAGCTAAATATATTAACGTACAGCTGAAGCTACTGAACCTAGAATCTTGAAATATGCAGGTAGGTTCTTTGTATATCGTAAATAAGCATCGAGAAAGGAAATCAGGAACTACCACCCACAATGGGGGAAAATAGAATGTCATTAAAATATGCCCACGAGATCACACTGTGTGTGATTTGTTTAACTGCAAAAAATATTCTTCAGCGGTGGTTTTGGTTTTCAGCTGTGTAAGTAATATATTTCGTGATTTGATTTCAAACATTTTTCATTGTGTCAATGATTTTTCTAACCAACTAATGAAGTTTTTTTGAAAACTCATATTCACTGAATTATTCAGACCAACGTCTAAAAATTATAGACAGACATCGATATCTGAAATGTGATACCACTTGTTGTTATGCCATAAATACTGCAAGTAATTTAATCAAGTGCAGACGTAAGTAATTCAATATCAGGTACCTTGGAAAAAGATAACGACTGTGTATGGATATTTTCAACTCTAAGGAACAAACTTATTGCTAAAAACCTAAAATAATAACACTTACTATCCGTTTGTTACAAAAACTTGACCAACTTGGAACAGCGAGAAGTAAAGAGACCATAACCCAGCAAATAGGGGGATGGTACAGAATTTCTGTGAAATAAACCTGAAATAGAAGAAAATATCTTTATACAATTAATATTTTTATTCCTCATCACAACTATATTTATCGAAAAACTTTGAACTCTTTGAAACTAGGGCAGTTATTGTCATGTAATCGAAACAATTGTCGCATCTCTACTTTTTTAAAAGTGGTAGCTCCGTCAAATTGATAAACCCTAGTGAAAATCTCTATAAAATTCAAATGTTGAATTAACTATAAAGAATGCAGACAAGATGATTGAAAACAGACCTAGTTCTAAATTTTTGGGGGTAATAACTGACAATAAACTTAAATTTGTTGGTCACATTCAGATTTCAACAAGAATGTGACAAATCACCAAATTTGAATGAAGTATTTTCCCAAAGTTGAAGCATCTAACGTTATTCTTTAGAAAAATATTGTCGTTAATCTATATTTTACTTGTACATATTTATCTGAATTCTGACATTGAAAATATGCATCATCTTTTAGAATTTTAGATGACTCTGTCAATGAGATATCTTCAGAGACGGTATACATTGTCTGATTGACAATTTTTTAATTTATGATATTTCCACTGAACAGATTACAAAAACTGCCACAAATGCTTTACAAAAAACAACCTTGTCCAGGTATTGACATGTTTTTTGTCAACTAAAAATGTATCATATATAATTATCATGAATTTTCATCAAACAGTTCACATCTATCAAGATGAATGTAGTCAAATACATTCTCTTGGAGACATTCGTGTGTATCTTATTCAAGTGAAATGCTCACCCTGTAAAAGCTAGAAAGGCCCCCAAAAGTGCCAGCACATCAAGAGCACAGTTGGTGTCGAGTCCCAAATAAGGTGCCAGCCACAGCAGGGTAGGCTGGTAGTGCACCTTGGCAGAAAGGGTCTTGTGCTTGCTGTTCTCTAGCACCGAGCTGGCTGGTAAGACTCCATTATCTCCGTACAAACCTGCGAATTAGAACACGTAATTAAGAAGCACGTCCGGCATTTGGTGAGGAAGGTTGCTGAAGAAGCAAAGGAAATAACTAATATCCTTCATTTCACTCACCGGGAATCTGAATGTAAAACGACAAAAAGGCAGTCAGATAAACGACACATAACGATCTCAAAAATAAATTCCTCGTGTATCTCACAGCGATCATATTTGTAGTTTCATGTATAACACTGTTCTTCGATTTTTTTTTAATTTTCTTCGCGATTACTTCAAGCGTAAGCGCATCGAATTCACACCTAAATTTTTCTAACGGAACACTGAACTCGACTAAGTTCGCCTTGAATCGGGTTGCCTGTCAAGGTCACGTCACAGTGAAAGTTCAATCTCTGTTGCAATTTACTCCGTGAAAGCGCGGTAATTTCAATCCCACTACGGCAATACGGTTACCGTACGCATTGAAAGGATAATTAAGAGAATTCAGTCCTTTGAACATTTATTTTATGAAACCAGAAATAGTCTCGGCTCTTCTGTTAACTGAAAAAGTAAAACTCAAATTTGTTCAAGTTGGGTTTCTGGTACAAATCATGACTTACAGTACGTTTCTGTTCAGAATTATTGTTACCAAACGCTGATACCAAACTCCAATCGAAAACGCGAATTAAATTCATAATATATCATTTCAGATTTTGAATCAAAGTCGTCCCGATCATCTTTTTAAAAAATTGGAGAAAATCTGGACATGAGGCAGGCAGTTCAGGACAAAAAAGAAAGATTAGACTGTTCGTTACCTTACTGTCGTAAGGAGGTGTTGAATATTTACCACTCTCTTCTTTGTAAAGTTAAAATTTTTCATTTTCTCTGATATAATACGCTCTACCAGCATTATCCCTACCATTACTTTCTGAATCCATATGTTTTTTGGAGGGGAAGAAGATTCCTTTCCCCTTCCATCCTAACGTGTCTAAAGTTTTAACTAAAATCCATTATTTTACGCACATGTATTCAATATACCCAGGAAAGAAAAAAGAAATTCTGAACGAGGATAAAAAAGGAATGAAAAAAGTAAACCAGCCCACTTTCTGATGTATACACGGCAAGAGTCTCACCGGTACCGGTACCTCAGATTAGACACGTCAAAAGGATTACTCAGGTCTTACCCGTATAGAACCTGTATTTTTTAAAAAATGTGTGTTTATGACGCCCCCAGGGTGCTAAGTTTATCTTCATAATTGAAGTAGCGTTTACCAGGTGATCCTCTCAATAACACCACTCAAGCCGCTGTCTGAACCTATCATCTGGGTTAGATAGGAATGGGGTTGCAGTAGTATAGAGTATATGTATAGAGTAATATTCACTAATCGTTTAGAATGAACAATCTCATTGTTCAATTGAGAATAGCATTTTTTCACTCGAAACTTTGAACAAGTTTCTCTTTGTAAGTGGAATTTTATACTTATAAGCTTTTACACATGAAGTTTTTTGTAGCGATTCTGTGTGCGATATGTTTACACCCCTGAAGAAGTTTTTGTATGGCAAAACACGTGTTGCGTTTTTGTAAAACTGTTTAGTGAAAATTTTACAGTATCACTGAATAACACTGTGTAATTGAATAAAAAAAATATCGAAGGCTACATGGGCTCATAATCCAATAAACATTCCAAGAAGGCATGTGAATTGAGGGTAACTTAAAAGATTGTTTCAATTTTGTCCTTTCAATATAATTTTTGGAATTAATGTGGTGATTTTATCGGACAGTCACACAAACGAAAAATCTTGCTGCCTACAGACGCTTTTCCCCTTTTTTTAAATTCTTCAATTTACAAACGAACGATCCCTTGGTTGTTATTAACATATTGACACTGTTGACAGTAATGACAGCTAACAAATTAGGATATGACAGATAAGATCTGAATTGTAGAGATATTTTCAACTTTCATTTTGTACTTTCGAAAAACTTTGACATTGTCTCCTCTGTTCCCATTTGATAATTTGGCTCAAACCTTTCATGAATCACTACCCCACTTCGCGACACATTTTCGGACTTGCCAACTGACGAGCACCAAACCGGATAGGCAACGATTTGGGCGAAAGAAATAGCTAATAAGTTCCCCAAGACGGAGTCTTCGGATTCATCGCGGCCCTATGGGGGTTGAAGCGTGTGCAGTCCCCACAGGGCTGCAGCAGCGATGGGCAATTGCTTCCAAACTTGTCTACCGGAGAGCAGAGCTGTGAAAGCCTTTCAAAACTTTAGTATACTCGACAATGAAAACAGCGCGGTTGATTTTTCTTTTCTCGTCGATGAGGTGAGCAGGATGTTTTTATATTGCCGGAAATTGTAGTATCGCTCTGCAAAGAATAATATTCTACAGTCTTCAGATCAGTTTAGTAATTTAAAGAGTTAGGCCAGTATTCACTTTCCAGGTGTTCAAATTCAGTTTTGTTTATCTCAATGAATTCTATATAAACATCTTTCATTTTCTGTTTCAGAACTCTCCTTATGCTGAGGAAAATAAAAGGTACGGTACATCATATTACAGTAATTCTAATGTCTTACATTTTTAATGATAGCATAGAAATATATATTACTTGTTACTGACTATTCAAAATCCATTAAAATGTTTGATATCTGTGATTTGTGAGCCTGTTAATAAAATATTTTTTAAGCTAACCACTAACAAGTCATCAAACTTTATCTTCATTTGGAAACAACATGGATGATTAATTTTTTACTTCATGAATTAACTTCTATATTTTTTTCATGCACTTGTAGCAGTAGAGGCCTATTATCGCGTCTTTTCAAAAAACGGACTAAGAAAAAGGTAATTACAATTCATCAAATAAACTTATATATTCTGCACTATATTTTTTGACTTCTGATCAACTTTTACTCCATTATTATTATTCAATGCCATTGTCACTAAAACCTGGTGAGAGTAATAGTTATAAGATAGGAGCACACAAAGACATTCAGGAAGCTGGATACTTCAAAGTCTCAATAACATTTGAGGTATCAGCGAGTCCTGCCACCCACAAAAACACTAATTTTATTTTGTCCTCACGTCTGTCTCAGATCTCTGTTCATTTTTCACGACAGAAACCTGTGCTACAATTAGTTGACAGCCTGTTGAACCCACAAGTGTCAGCCTACAGTAGACTATCTGAATCACAGAGGAATCCATCGTCTGGGTAAGTTGACACTATTTATTTATGTCACTTCCAAATAATATTTCATAACATACATAAAGAAAAGAGGATGTAACAAAGAGAAGCTCTATTTCTGTTTTCCGGAAAACAGGTCATGTACTAGTCGTGATATACAACTCCAGTGTCTGGATGCTCGTGCTTTGTTACAACGAACTACAACATCAACGCCTGCCAGTTCTCTTGATCTAGAATGGGAACATGAAACTCTACCCATATCCATGATTCATGATGCTTCAGGAAGTTCATGGTAAATACCTTCGACTATCATATCTTCTATACCATCGATAAATTCTTTGCATACATTTTTCTTTAGGACTCAACTTCCCGAAGATGTATCTCTGTGCCCCAGCAATTCGAGCCCCCGCCATTCTGCCAGCGCTGCCCCTCCTAGTGAGTCTGACTGGTCCCGGGTGTCTTCTTCGGATAACTCTCTGGAATGGGACAACGTTCACAACTCCATACACGCAAGTCCACCTTTGTCAGAGGTCGACACCGATACTCAGTTCCTGCTTTGCGAGATAGAAAGATTAACAAACAAAACACTGGAAGAAACGGGCCAAGAGTTGTTCAGCTGATTCGAAACGAGCTGCTCGAACAAGATTTTGGTTGGTATGTCGCGGTTCACTCACATTTGGTTTTTTATTCGTTCCTGTCTGGGACTAGAGGTCAGTTGTGTGGTAGCAGATGGAACTGATGTTGAAATTAAATGGTAACTCAAGCACTGAAAGGGGAAACGAAATATCGCCAAAGAATCATGATTCAATATCAGAAAATGTTAATTGCTGGAATCCCACACCTGACACCAAATACTAATCTTTGTTTTTTAACAGTTTAAAGTGACTTGTAGGTCAGTCTTTACTTATTTATTTATAATTTAATGATTCTTACTGTATGTTTGCAACATGTGATCTAATATAACATTGAATAGTACAATTATGGAGTGGAGCTGATTATTCAGCTTCTGAATTTACATTCATTATGCCTTTTACTTTTTTAACTTGTTGAAATCAAGGCAATGGTGAAGCGTGAACATTATAACCTTTACCGAGAATCTATATGACAGAATGAATGGGGAATATTTTGAAAAATTGAATACTCTTTTTTCTCAGAGGCATACTACATTTTTTTAGCACTGTCGTGAATTGTCTGGCAGAATGTAGTGTTTGTATATAAGCCAAAATATCACCAGACGACTGGCAAACTACATATTACTTATTCCAAAATGTATAAGACTGTACTATCATTTTTATTAACGAGAAACGAAGGATTGATGAATGGCTAGATATTACGGGGAGTATGAAGTGTCTTGACTGTTTAAGGATATTCGTTAATGTAATAAGCAGGCTCCTGGTTGTTATATTGCAGAATTTAATATTGTATTTAAGTGATAGAATATTGCTGTTTTAGATGAATTGTGATTATATTAAATAGTTGAAGTATTCTTGGTCTGCTGTCAGCGAAAAAACAAATTGCTCCAAATAGTATTCTACAAAGAGATTCAAAATTGCAAGTACCGAAACTATTTGTATAGTGATATCAATTAGATACATCAGGGCTGAATTTGTATAACCTTCATTATTTAAGCCAGAATGGTTATAAAGGGACATGTTCCACCCAGAAAGGTTGTGGTTGAATCGTCAAAAGAAATCAAATAAATAACTTGACGTAGATAATCTAAATATTAGTTTAGAAAGTTTTGTAAAAATAATAGTCCCTTTGAAAATTTTTTTAGCAATTACAGGTGTTTGGAGAAGCAAAAAAATGGTGGGACCAAGATATTGCTTCTATAGTGGGGCCTTTAATGTTTCTAGTTACTAGAGATCTGCGAGGACGTGAATCTCCAAAGAACCTGGTGTGGAATTGCGCAGAATTCAGGTTCATTTGTGGTAATTTGCGAATGTTTTAACAATTTATTTCGTTCCTGCTGAAGGCATATATATTTGTCTAACAAAGTACATTGATTATTTATATTAGCTTTACCACTCGTTATATATGTTGCCGAGATTTTTCGTTACTTTTATGACTGTTATTCTAATAATTCGGATTTTGATCCGCAGATAACCTGCATCTGCTTCGTTACGATTTTTTATAACAAGTACATTTCATGCAAACATATCAATAAAACTTGAACAAAACGAGAGTTTTTTTCATTTATTCATCACAGTAGTTCGTCCAAGTTGAAGTTCGAGTAGCACCAAAACTCATTGGCCAAATTATTCTTGTGTCTCGGCTCAAAAGAACTTTTCTGCAGGTCCAGCAACCTTTTGGCCATGTCTGCCATTACAGCACCTAAGAAAAAAATATCTGTTACATACGGCGAGTTGGATATGAATTATCACTTACCGGTGCACAATATTATCTTGTCTTTCGTTAAAAATCTGATGGTAACAGCAGTTTTTGTCAGACATTCATCAGACAGAAATGGGGGATCCGCAATAACTAAATCGTAGTAGTCAGACTTATCTCTTGGAACATCTAGTGGGGATTTGTAGTCATAGAATATGAAGTCTTTGCCGTATACGGAAAACCTCTTGTCATACTCGAATAAAGTAACTGAAAATATAGTAATGATCACAGAACTGATCACGAGTCCTGATTATGTTTTATCACGACTCAAGGTTCTATTCAACCCATTTGAATGGTCTTGAAGTTGACCGATAATGAAGTAATGCTGTGGCAATACTTACTTTCACAATTCTCTTTAGCTTTCCTTCGCATTTTCTTATACAGTGTCGGGCATGAAACTAAAGCTATCTTTCCATTATCACCAACCGATTTCAAAGCTACATCTACTAATACATCTATCGTGTGATCGTCATACCAAAACTGACTGAGTTGCTGAAAAAAACTACATTACCAGCGAAGCTTTTTAAATTTCAGGGCAGATTCATTACTCATTCGTAAGAATTGGTTAGCAGTTAATCTAGTAGTAACGAATGAAAAATGAATTCTCAAGACTTAAAACTTGGAGAGTGGTGCATCAATCCACCCTTACTGCCTACCCAATCTTCCTCCAGAGAAGCGTTCGGGTCCGTATCTAATACCAAGTTGCTTTCGCGTTCTTCCTGTTCTTTATAAAATTCTTGCAAAACAGCGAACGTTTCTGCTGATAACTGTGGAACATCCTCGTCGTCACTTACGTTTGAAGACATCACAGAAATAGCATAGCAAAATTAGATGGTAGCCTAGCTTTAGCTCTGAGTTATTATATCGGTAAAATGTAGATTAAGATTATTATGAATCTGATTACAGACAGAGATTTGAAATTTTTCTAATTTGAGGTTAAGGAGGTTTCTCTTGTTCTTCGTTTAATTGGGTGCCGTTCTAAGACATGTACAACTTTTATCCTTTAACCAATCTTTTTTTTATAGAACTGACATGTCAGGTAAGGACTGACACGGGACATAACATTGTTCTTTATTGTTGTTTTTGGTATTCTGCTATTTTATGTTAGCATCCCTGACATAAAAAAAAGAAAGTAAGCAATTCAACAAAATGAACTCTATACAAAGAGGTATATATCATGCAAAGAAGTAACTTTCAGACACAAACTAAAGGAAAAAGGACCATTCGAATTAAACAAAAACAGTTACATCTATTCAGTTTTTATTCCAAATATTCGTTATAAAATTGAATCAGATGAACAATTTAACCTCTCTTTCGAAGATGATCACTTGGTGATCGAAACACGTGTCGAGGTGTTAAAATAACGGTTTGGTGTTGGGATAAAACTACAGTAATATTCATTACTACACCGAAGGTTCCAAACACTGCATCACAAATGTAACTCAATGTTTATATGAAATTTTCGAGATGAGTTTTTTCCATTTTGTGTCTAAAAGTTACTTCTTTGCATAATCTATATACATCTTTGTATAAAGATGATTGAAAATAAAGTGTATGAATTCTTCCTTTTTCAGAAGATTACCAAATATTTGTATGAAGATGAAGAAATAGAAAGCCAGAAACTTTTCTTCAAAAATTTATTTCCCGTTTTTCCAGTAAGTCACAAGTAAGATTTTGAATTATAATCTTGAATATAGGCGTATTTCCACAATTTCATCTCGATTCCACATTCATTTCACTATTTTCATTAATTATTTGATTGTCGTTCCTCGTTTGATTTTTTTATACAGTATTAGTGGTTATATAGTGTAGGTACTTTTTATTGAGTATGATATATACCTGAAAGCTGTCAAATTTCTGTCATACGTATATCTCCCACAATTATGTCTCCGAATATGAGAGGTGAGTGAAATTCAACCAAATCTATCGATATCCTTCTTTCTTGGAATTTTTTGCAGTATTCTCAATTTATGAACAGGGGACCACTATTGAAAAATCACCTAAAGAATATTGGTTGAGATCGCAAAGACGACATCAGTTTCCTGAAGCTTTCAATTACAGCAGGATCGAATTCAAGCCTCCTCCTCTTCCAGCTAGAGCTACTCAGTTATCATTAGTCAAAAGAGAAGAACGTCGACACTTTTGTGGTCTCAATACGAAGTCACATTTGGATAATTTCTTTTAATACTGGACATAAATTCCAATTCTTCAAATAAATGGTGAATAATAGTAGAAAAATCACAAAAAATGTACAATATTCGTGAGTCAGTAATGAAAACCAAGGAAACAAACGAAGGACTCTTAACATTGAGCAATGTCATGAACTGACGATGAATTCTTTTACTATTTTTTTCTATTACATTGTGTACATGAAGGTACTCATTGGTGTTAAAAGTAAACTCAGTCCCGCATTATAACGGCGTGTTTCCATTTATGCTATTTTCTCATTGGCCTATGGCAAATGAAACTGCAGCTGAAGAGTTACACTCCATTCTGATTGTGGATTTTTACGTCACAAGGTAGAATGTTCAATCATAATGGAAAGTAAGCTATCCTTTCGACGCGTACGGAGTTGATTTAAGCAATGTCAGCTGTCATTTGTCAACTATATCGACCTATCATTTTTCAACAAAATACTAAAATACTGCATAAACACAACTATTGGGCATGTTAATAAAAATTATCGTGATAGTTCTATTACTCGATTCAGTATGTTGCATTTCTGAACACCCGATTCTGATTGTCGTTTCCTACGATGCCTTCAGGTACAATTTCTTCGACACGAAGCTGGTTCCGAATATGGAAAGGATCAAGAAGACTGGGACCTATTCTGATTACCTGGTCAACGTTTTCCCGACAAAAACCTTCCCCAACCACCACTCCATCGCGACGGGCTTGTACACCGAAGTGCACGGAGTGGTAGGCAACACCTACTACGACAAGCAGAGCGACACAGTCATGAAAATTGGTTACGAAATGTTCCATTACGATAACAGCACCGTGCCTATTTGGGTATGTTGTAGACGCTCCTGTCGACTTGGTAGTGGAATCATCCTATGTTTCAGAGATGGAACGAGGATCAGGGTGGCGGAAGGTACTCTGCCACCATGATGTGGCCTGGTGCGGATTTTCCTTATCAGGGGAAAAATATAACATATATGCAAGGGTTCGATCCCAACGTTGATTGGTTTCGTAGAGTCGATACAGTGAGTATCTACGGTGATATTTATATTGCAACTATAATCATGATTTATTTTCAATAAAAATATACATAATGCAGGGTAAGTAAAAAGTAGATAATAATAAATTAAAAAGTCAATATGATAAAATCAATGCCAAATTTTGATAATGAGGTAGATCGCATAATTCTCCTAACAAAGATTGAAATGTATGGAATCAGGGGAATAACCCACAAATAATTTGTAAATTACTTAGAGGGTAGGTAGATACTACTATGTAGAGGTTAGCAGAAATAAATTAGAATCTAAAAATTGTTTCCTCGGAGTTCCTCTGGGTTCTTTATTAAGTCCACTCTTATGAGTATATATAATATATGTGCCTAAATGATTTTTATAGTGATCAGTTCGTTATGTATGCCGATGACACATCTTTATATATATAAATCCTTTATTTAGCAATGAAACTGCTAATACAATACATATATAATCAAATACGACACCACAATGTGTTAGTCAACTAAACTCAGGAATAAAATTTCAAATTATGAGTACTACAATAAATATACAACATCTACTTAAAACATCACAGTTGTTAGTCAATATAAAACACAAACAAAATACAAATATAGAATGCAAAAAAAAAGTTTATACAGTCAAAATTTATATTATATAAAGGCTAGTTCATTCACCCATTGATAACTCAGGAAAATAATAAAGCCACAGTTAATAAAGCATCTGATGAAATATAAAGAATCCAAAAGTGGTTCTCAGACAATGGTCGGTTGTTAAATGAAAGAAAAACTGTGCTTTTAAGTTTTAATCATCCAAGAACCACTCCAGATCACAGTTTACTAGTAACATCAATTAATGGATCAATTCAACAAGAGGAGACAACATTTTTGGGTTCAAAGAAAATCTCAAATGGAATAAGCATATTGATACGGTTTGTAAAAAGATATCCTCAATATCTAATTGTATTCAACAACTACGCTGGAATGTAAATAGATCACTCTTATTAATGTACTACCATGCATACTTTGATTGTAACATTTCCTATGCTATTATAGCTTGTGGAGCATCTAGTGATTGTTCCAGAATACTCAAAATTCAAAAAAAGAATCAAAAGGTATATAGCAGGAGTTATTAGAAGAACAAGTTGCAAACTCATCTTCCAAAATCTCAGAATATTGCCTGTTACAAGTATATACATTTATGAGATAATGAAATATGTAAAATCGCATATAACCAGTTTTCCTACTCTTGATGGTAATAAGAATTATAATACTAGAAATTCCGTACAGTTGGAAGTACCAACACACAGATTAGTTGTATCTGAATCATGTTCCAGGCTTTTGGCCATTAAATTGTACAATAAACTTCCAAGAACAATAAAAAATCTGGCTCTGAAACAGTATAACTATCAAATCAAAGAGTTGCTCCTGGATAAATCCTATTATTCTCTCAAAGAATACCTATATGGATGATAACTTATGACCCTGTACATGTGTAACATTTTAAGAATATTTTAATAACGATGCTGTTACATAAATAACAGATTAGTTTTGGTTTTGACTATTATATATTATATTATCTTTGTAAATTGTATATTTTGTATAGTGCGGCTCTAAGTGCACGGAGTTTGTTATTTTAATTTTGTATTTGTACATGTTTCGACATACTCAATGTCATCTATAGATCATCCAACTGAATAAATATTATCATTATTATTATTCTATCAGGTTTTCAATGGACCGGGATAGGTGGGGTAGGTAAATTAACAATAGAAAATGATAAAACAAAAACAAAAATCGAAATTTTTCTCTCAAACCACTCATACAATTTTGATTTCTCAAGATATTCTATAATTTGAATGTTTTTAATATATTTGTAGAGTTTTCATCTTTCAGGTTATGTCGTGGATAACAGATCCCAAGAAACCAGCTAATTTAGTAATGTTCTATATCGAGGAACCAGACTCCCACGGCCATGCTTTCGGAGCAAACTCCGTTGTTGTCAAAGATATCCTGAGAAAACTTGACAATGTCACTGAATATTTGAAGGTCAGTCCCAGCAATTTCTCTCATGTCCCTATCCCAAAGTCGATTGTTTCAGGACCAGTTGGAAATTCACAAATTAACAGACCGTGTAAATGTCATTCATCTCAGCGATCACGGTTTAATCTCCGTCACACCTCCCCATTTCATCAATATTACGCAGTACATGAAAAACGATACCTACTACTGGGCTGGGGCCTCGCCTTGCATACAAATAACGCCAAAAAAAGGTAAGTGGACAGTCATCCGTCTAGTAAGTCATTCTTCAGAGGGGTCCTAAGGTGGGGCTTTGAGGAACACCTATGTATTGCAGGTTATGAGGATATGATCTATGATGCGCTCAAAGTCGGCTCGGCTACAAATGGGCATTTCAAAGTTTACAAAAAGGAAAACTTTCCCAAACATTGGCATTACAAAAAGAACTCTCGATCTCCTCCGATTCTGGTCATGGCCGACGTAGGTTATGCTTTGGACGACTTGATAATAGCTGCACCGAAATATGCCCAACGTTACAATTTTACATGTAAGTGGATTTCAGCTCGTGTTTTAGTGTAAGTTCCGTTGTAACGTTTCAGTTAACCTAACACTATTACTCTTGTTTGAAATATAGTTGAGACTGATTGAATATCTTGGTATGACAGGAGTTATGAACATCATGAGTAATAATTGAGTTGGAGACAGCTCCTCATCAACAGTTCTATGTTTAGAATATGAAAATCCTGAATCAAAGTTATTATTGACCTACCCATAAAGGCAAACTTCTTGAATTGGTTTTGGATCCAGCGTACAGTATTTTTTATGTAAAAACTCCAGTCGAAATTTTATTGAACTAATTTTAGATGTTCAAAACTTTCTCCAGTGCAGTACACTATGCTTTTTCCTGTAGAGCCTCTTCAAGAAGTTTCCAATGTGGATAAATTTGTTATTATTTGTTATAGACGTTTCAGATAGTTTTTAGTAGATCACCAAAGCCGATTCTGTTACACCAGCCAATGAGAGCGTAGCAATTTGTCACGTGACCAGTTTGTTCGGTTGATTACGCTATCGGTGCGGCTGGGTTAGTTTAGGTTCAGTTAGATTCAACCCAACCGCACCGATAGCGTAACCAACCGAACAAACTGCTCATGTGACAAATTGCTACGATCTCATTGGCTGGTGTGACAGAGCCGGCTTTGGTGATCTACTGTTTCTATTCATTTTATAGCTGTTCTCCAAGGCTTGTTGAGTGACACTAGATTTTTCTGGTGTACGTAGCACATACGCAGCACGTATGTGCTGCGTGTTCTTTGAAACGAATTTTAATGACTCGCTTAGTCTGACCAATATATTTTTCAGACTTTCTCATTTAAGAGGTCTTCTGGTTAAATCAATATATCAACTGAAATGTATGATACTTTTGTAGTGACTAACACTTCTGAATTTGGAGTTCACGGCTACGACTACAACGTGAGCGACATGCATCCCTTCTTCATGGCCCGAGGACCGAAAATCAAGAAAGAGCACAAAGTAGCCCCTTTTCACACCGTTGACCTCTACAACCTGTTCACTGAAATACTGGAGCTGCCCCCCAGAGTAAACAACTTTTTATCAAAAATTGTTTGTTTTACGCCATTTCCTCAGGAGCTATTTTCGAAATATATAAAAAGTTGTCTAGTGGTGGCTCATTTAAATTATCTTTTAAAGTATACTTCTAACAACCAAAGCATAGAACGCATCTCATCTGACATTTCAGAGTTCTAAATTATGACTTATGACAGTTGGCTCATCAAATGTCACGTGTGTCACTTGTCATTGGCTTCCCAATGTATAAACTCCAAAATATACACAAAAACTAGTACTAGCAAAAACTTCGCTCATCGAAAAAACGAATATTGATGTCACTGAACATATAATCTGCCACAGAACCCGGGAAAAATTAAAAAAATATTCCGTAGTGTGATGGTTTCTTTGTTGGACATTTGTCCGGGGACCATCCATTTCTTGAAAATTTGACGGCGAAGCAGTTGAGCTGGCTGTGGTAAAATGACTAGTTGTTGAACTCTAAAACAGAAAAAAAGAAGATTTTTTCTATCAAAATGGGCTTTGTCCTAGCATATTTAACCAGTACCTTTCCGAGCTGGCACTATCTAATAATTTGTATCCTCAACTGTTCTGCATGAAGAAGCTTCAGTTTTTTTGAAATGGGTGTTTGACTGATGCAAAGCCAAAAAAGCAAAGAATATATTTCTCATTCTGGCTTAACGAATTTGGTTTTTAGACATATAGCCAGACATAAGATGTCTTTTTTCCCAAATATCCATGTCATTGGAACTAGCCAGTAGCCAGATACGTCGTTCGCTTTTTTTAAACGCATACATATGAATGTTGTTCCCTCTCGAATAGGGAAATGCTATATTGGGAGGTCATGACACAATTTAATCGAATATCTTTCCAGTTAAATAATTACCTCAGATTTTTCATTCTAATTGGTTTTGCGCCGCTAACAATTCTTCCATTTTCTTTCCTTTCCAGTAGTAGGATTCCTCATTGTCGTGTTGGCCATAAGTTCGGCTGCTGCCGTGGCCCTCTATCTGATAATTCGCCAACAAAACATCACAACCACAGCTGCTTTGAATAAGCGTTCTCCGCAAACTTTCCAAAACAACATCATAGAAGCACAGCACCTGCTTGAAGCCGAAGATACGTAGGTTAGGGTAGAGACCGTCCTATTCGAGAGCGATGCTCATTTTACGGAGACGATGAAATCCTGAAAAAGTCCATGAAGGTTAGATCCGTTGATCTAGTGGGTCATTGGATTGAAACTTTTAAACTATGGGTTTAGTTACAGTAACTTTTTTCAATGTCCCTCATAGCGAAACTACTTTTCTGGGTAATGCCGGGAAGGGTAGTGAATATCATCGTCTCCGTAGAGAATGCGCATCATTCGATTTTGTCTCAAATTTTTGTGAAACTTTTTGTGATTATATTGACGTCCAAATACACAAGGTGAGAAAGGTATGTCGAGGATAATAATAATTAGAAGTCGCATGGCAAATAACTCGATTTGGTTTATTATCGAATATGTTAGTACTTATGACCAAAAAGTATGGATTTAGATAAAAACTGTTGATTTCATAACCTAAATTCATATTATTATACTTGAAGGTTGTGCAGAAATCTTCGAAGTAATTCCTTGGCAAAAGGATGTGACGGGTATTTTAGCAGTAATGACAAATTTTGATATATTTGTTCAAGGACAGTGTCCTTGCATTTTACATACTACTAACTCTACTTAGACTTGTAGTCTAAGTAGTAACCATTCTACTTGTGTGATTCATACTTTTTGGTATCTAATTGTGAATCGACAGTTTTGTAGGTGAATTGTAGATATTTCAGAAACTTTTTTAGACATTAACGGATATTTTCTCTCTATCCGCCGATTCTATTTATTTATCAAACCTGACAATAAAACGAATATTTCATCAACAAAATGAGAAAATGTCCTTTGATGTTCGATTTGCAAGATTTTTTCTATTCTAGTGAATAATGTTTACTATTGTTTGTACATGTTGTTTCGATCGACCACAAAGACTTGAAAATTTTATGGAATTTTGGCTTCGCGTAAGATTATGGTACTTTTGAGTTATTTTTGTGAAAGGGGGTTCTCGAAAGGTTTTTTTTGTCGTACTTAATGGCGATTTACAGGGGCAACACTGTTCTGTTTTTCTGTACAATGTTGGAATCATAATTTTCCTATTTGACACTAAATTTCTGATTTATTTTCATTTAATGCACCAAGATTATTGAAACAAAAGCATTAGTTCCCCCCCAATATAAGACAGCGCTAAAGATTTGGAATTGCGTTGTCTGAGATATTATCAAAAAATAGAATAAATAAACATCAATGAATTTTCACTGAATTTTTGGTAGTCCATAAGTATGCGTTATTGTTACTATTTAACAATCTTTCACTTAAGCGAAAGTTTCATACAAGCAGTTGAGCTGCGTTGAAATTAATCAAGTCCCAAGCACACTGCTGTTTGAGTCGGATCTTTCCTGCACTGACGAGAGGTAATACCTCGGAACCGAAACAAGTACGTCTCCCAATCACCAGAACGGTAATACCCTTCTCGCGTTTCACCAACCTAGTTGACGTCTTCAGGAGGCGCTTGATTTGTACTTATCCTACACAAGAGGTTACAGTTTTAGCTTTCATCAGGCTTTAAGAATATCGATGAATTGAGATGCAGTATAAGAAGCTACTCTGTTTCATAAAGTCCTTTCCATTTCAAACAGACTAGGAGAATGTACTTTTTGAACATTTTAGATTATAGTGGAGTAAAAAATGTATGAAACTCATTTTTTACTCTACTTTACTCATAATTGCTAAGGCTGCTGGTGAAATTAATCTTCATGAGGGCTGTAAAAGCTATTGAGGAGCCTCAGTAGATGATAACATTATCCTGAGGTGAGTTAAAGGGCACGACAGTAGTAAAGGTAATCGCATTGCCGAGTCATTAGCCAAGGAGCTGGACTAGGACCCAGTGACACCTAGCTTGATGACTTTGCCAATGGGGAATGTTCCTCCTGACGAAACTCAAGTAGTTTTCATAAAAGAGCTCTAAAATAACCTTTTTCTTTAAAAAAATTCTTTAAATACTTGAAAAAGAGGAATGAAATAATGCATTCAACATTTAAAGGGATTCGTTTCTATTTCACCATTTGGCAACATCGATTATAGCTAATAAAGGACAATGAAACTGTAACCTGTATGAGACAAAGATGACATATTTCAGAGGCGTGCTGTTCTGTTTACTTATGTTCCGAGACATTCTGTGACATATGACATAACCTATCTTCCTCTATATAAATAAATAACAAAACAACTGTTGTTTATGTAGCTTGTGGAGGTAGTATTGAACTATAATTTATATTTTGCCTTAATTGTTGATTAATAAAGATAATTTTCCTTTTTTAAATTTCACCATTTGGCAACATCGGTTATAGCTAATAAAGGACAATGAATCTGTTACCTGTATGAGACAAACAAAGATGACATATTTCAGAGGAGTGCTGTTCTGTTTACTCATGTTCCGAGTTCAGAGACATTCTGTGACATACATTTTGTGCACCTAACCTCTCTTCCTCTATATAAATAAATAACAAAACAACTGTTGTTTATGTGGCTTGTGGAGGTGGTATTGAACTTAATTTATATTTTGCCTCAATTGTTGGTTTATAAAGATAATTTCCCTTTTTTAAAGTAGAATATCTAGGTACGTATAAATTATTTCAACTTGATATTGGCGCTGTTGCCAATATGTGATTTAGAAACAAATCCCTTTAAAAATTAAAACCCAACATTTGAAACATAAATTTGAATACTTTTCGAAGTGAATTTGAAAAACTCATGAATTAAACTCAACTTTATTTTGTTCCAACTTGCATTTGCTGTAATAACCTAAATTGAGGAACATTTCCCATTGCGGAACTAGCCAAATGTTACACCGGTCACTGTCAACTAAGGAAACACCTTCATAATGTGGGGCTAGTGGACACACCTCTATGCAGGATGTGTGAAATATCTCTTTCAACTACCTACACCGTAGGTTTTGGTAAATGCATGCAGGAAAACAACTATGATATGTTCAATATTTTTAGGAATAAGTATGTTGAAGCATTAATGAAAAGGAAGATGTGATCAAATTGCCAAATTGTTGAATTTCGAATAGTTTCGTTTTTATTTATTGGTATAGCACAATTTGGGTGATACTAGGTTAGATTTCATTTTCAATTGATGTAAATTTTATAGTTGTTCGATCAAATCGAGATTAAATGTTGAAGAATAAAATTTTGTTTTATTCCAGAAGTGTTACTGAAGTGTTCTTACATTTTTTTTAATTTCTCGTACTCAGCCTGATCTTTCGTGGATAGTGGTTGAAAATAGGAAAAGGTCAGCTCGTGGACGATATCTAGAACAAACCTTCGCTATTTACGCTATACAATAATAATAATAATACTGTTTATTCCTTTTAGATAATACAATTATGATGTAGGAAACGTCAAAAACAAGTATATTAATACAACAATATTCAGATTAAAATATAACGGAGTTACATCAGGTGAAAAACAATTATTATATACAATATACATTCAAATACATATAAATAATACACACATTATGTACAGTCATTTTTATAGAAGTCTTCCACTGAATAAATAGTCCGATCAATTAAAAACTCTTTGAGGTTCATTTTAAACTTTTTGATATCGGAGAAATTTCTTAGAGTAGAAGGGTAGACAATTGAAAAGTCTTGCTCCGGCCAAAAAGGGAGACTTTTCATAGGTTGAAGTCCTATGTTGTTTAATTAAATGTCACGATCTTGTGGAATATCGATGGCACTGAGAATTGGACTCGTAGTCATTCATATTTTTGTTCAAATGAGGACCTACATGATTCGGTTCTATCTAGATTAAAAATTAGGCGAATAATTCTTTTCTGAGCTATAAAAACACGATCCGCTCCTGTACAATCTCTCCACAAGATGATAATTGTGTGACAGTGTAGATTGAAGCATAGAATAATACACGTTAATCAAAGATTTTACACCCAAAACCTAACGTTGCAATAGTGCATAAAAACTGCTATTAAGTTTTCTAATAACATGGTTTAAATGAAATTTCCAAGATAAGTTTGTGTCAATGTGAACACCCAAAAATTTGGTTGTTTCACTTGGGAGAATTGTGACATTATTGACTAAAACCTGTAGGTATATGATTAATAAATCTTTTATGCAGATGATACATCGATTCTATGGCACAACAAAAGCTCTTCAGAGCTTAACTACCACATAAGCATAGATATAGAAAAAGTTAAGAATTGGTGTGATTCCAGTCTTCTACCTTTCAATATTAGCAAAACAAATATCATAACATTCAAGGGCGACTTAGATGATGTTTATTTGGACAAAGAACAAATCTCCATTTCTACGGATAATAAATTTCTGGGACTTCTAAATCAGCTTTAATGGTACTCTTCAAGGAAACCAAATCATTTCCACGCCACAATAAAGTGGTGTCATCTGCAAATAGTCATTACCTATTCTTCTCACACCTAGATATTCTAATTTATTGATTGATTAAATACTTTATTGGAATAAAACAAATGTTGGGAGATATTTCTGGGGTTTCAAAAATGAAATTTTAAAAAGTTTTTAGGAAACTGGATACTATAAAAACTTACATAACAAAGGTGTAACTACGTACTGATCCATTTTATTCAGTAGAATCAGTTCATAACACAAACCAAAACTTCAACCACCAACTATTTAATATCACAAACTAAAATACATATTACAAGTGAAATCACCTGCACTCTAATATAAAATCTTGGCGTTTTATAAGCAAAATAATCAATCAATGTAGAGCTTCCGCCTCACTCTAACTATCCTTCGCTTAGAGAAAAAAGGACGGGAAGAAGGGGCAGCCTTGGTTTTGCAGCTGTCTTCATGTAGCTTCAAAGCCTTAACGCTTCCAACAAAGTCGCACTCCTTGTTGTTGCAAGTCAACTGCAAACTCTCCGACAGATCTTCCACAGTGTAATTCCTTGACACCACAAAATCTGCTTCGCACGAGGGGCATCTGAACAGCTTGTTCTTACACTTGTGGCAGATGATGTGGCCGGTCTGGCAAAAATATATCGGAGATGACATGTAGTCCTTGCAAATGGGGCACTCTAGAGCCCTCTTCATGATAGTCATGTTGTCCACGTAGCTGTTTGGTTCTATTATTATCGTGCCGAATACACTGTCCGACTTGAGGATAGCCTTGAGCGAGAGGAGATCCAACTCGGTAGTCATTTCGTAGAGCTTGCTGTAGCATTTTGAGTACTTGTGTGTTTGCAGCTGGCAGATACGCATGTAGCACTGCGTACAGTGCACTCGATCATTGTACGGCACAACTTTTTCTCCCGGAACTGACACTTTTCTATCCAACGAGGTGGACAGAATGAGCTGGTACTTGTCGTCAGTACAAGTTGCAACCGAGTAAACGGAAACCCGTAGCTTCTGTTCGTTGTTGCCAATCAAGCAAAAGTACGGTTTGTCGTCATGGACGAGCATCCCCAGGAAAGGCTTGGTGAGTTCAGGCCTGACGGTCAATCTGTACCGCTTGGACACTCCATTCATCACCTTGGTGTCAGGGTGGTACTCGTCGAAGTGCTCGATGGTGTTGCAGGCTTCCACTGTTATTCCGCACGATTCAAGGGGGCACCTGATGGTGCGGCTGGGGCAGGTCAGCTCGTGGTCTTTCACAGCGGTCCAAGGCAGCTTCTCTTCGCAGCCCTTGTAAATGCAGGGGAAGCACATGAATTTGGCCACTCGTTCGTAAGTGAAGTTTCTCACGTTTATCTGAGGATCCAAAAAGTCGCATCTTCCGCATTGGTATCGAGTTCCGTCCACGGATGATTTGATGGGCGGTACTGACAAGTAACCGTTACAAAGGGAGCACTTAAGAAAGGATGCATCATCTTCGGGTAATACGAGAGAGTTCGTGGCCATATTTAGCTGTACGTTGGATAATGTCTTTGTGTTTGTACCGTTTTGTAGTATAACACGTATTTCAGATAAAATTACAAACAGAATACCGCTCTATTTTTCGGGTTATCTGTCATTGATTCTCTCTCTCTCTTTCTTCTTAATATCCCGTGTTTTCTATGAACATTTGGCCATTAACAATTATTAGGCAACAGTAAAATGCTAAACTGCGATTTAGCCAGCTCCAGCTCATTAGTCATTAGTGGAATGCAACGTTGTCGGATTTAGCATAATGTTGAATCATTTATGTTTTTTGTTTTCTTTGTTTTTCCTTTAAATGTAACTCTCCGCTCCCTATTCCTTCTTATACTTCCTCTTTAGCACTCTTCTTGTTTGTTAAACAAAAACAAAACATTCTTCATTTTTGGGACTTGATAACTGAATCACTACCTACTTTGGACGAAAATATAAAAATTGACGTGTTACTATCCACAGATGTTTTCTTCACATAACATATTGTAGAACGGAAACCCGGAAAAGAAATCATTCAATACATGATTATGATAATACTGTATTATCAGGTAGATAATTCAGATTGTATGATAATAGTCAATATAAAGAAACAAATAAAATAACACTTATTACTGAAAATTTTACAAAATAAAGCTGTCCAAAAATTAATTCAATATATGGATTTTTTAATAAAATTTTTCTCAAATTTGAGTGCTACTCAAGTGACGCAGCTCGACAATGTTAAGTTGGTAATTCAATTTTCAATATCTTTTACATTTTGGACAAAATTGATATGAAGTGAGACATTTTTTTTAATATATCATGGTCCATGATTCAAAGATCAACATAATATGTGCGACAGATTTCTTTTCTTGCACAATCTATCAACATGTGTATAAAGTGGGGTTAATCTCAAACAAAAACGAATTGGTAAAAGATCAGGGTCTATATATCTTTGATGGTACCATTCTCTGACATGAGAAGAGGCAGTATCAGAAAACGAACAGAAGTTATATCAAAAGCACCGAATTTTATGGATTTACAACACGATTTCTTTTCAGATCAATTTGCAATCACTTGATTCGAGCTGGCTAAATGCGCCTACATGGAAACAAACACTTAGAGAGAGTGAGAGAGAGCTTTTGTCATTTGAGGTTATGTATTATGTCATTCTCGTTCATAGATTTGAGAGTATAACCCTAAAAAATTGATTTTTTTTCGTTCAGTCCTAAAAAACTCGACAAGCAGGAAAGCAGAAAAAAACATTACTTCTGCCCAAAAAATTTAAAATGAAGGTGTTTCAGCTTATCAGGAGGTATACTATGTGATTAATCAATTATGATAACGTTATTATTTAAATATTACAGGAATCCCTTTTCAAAAGACAAATTCCTATGCTCCGTTTATAACGAAGTACGTCTTTCTATGGAAAAAAGTACCCAGGATAGCAGCTCCAGTAGTGACAGCAGCAGCAGTGGCAGCAGCAGCAGCAGTGATTCCGATAGCGATGGTCCAGATATGAAATCCAAAAATAATTTACAAGCCAAAAAGGATGAAACTTTAAGCAAGCTGAACACTTTGTTACAGCAGTTACTTGAAGTGAGTTCAAGTTCACTCTCAACAGAATAATGAAAAAATGTAATTTGCTCAGTCAAAGTTTAGATGTAGGTTTCTTCATAGTAGTAAAGTAACTTTCCAACAATATTTAGATCAAACATAGAAATTTCTTTCAGATACGAACTGGGTAAAAATGTAGCTGCAATAACTACTTACTCAAAGTATGTGTTGTCTAGAATAAATTATTCATGAACCTAGAGAAATATTGAATATTCAATTCCCAAAAGACAAACTCTAATATCAGAATACAATTTTTTCATAAAACTGCTGTCCAAAATTCTTTGCATGTTATGGACTCAATTATGTACAACTTATTTCAGAAAGATGTGGTCGCAAAAAGCTACAATCTTGATTTGGCAAAACCTACAAACAAGCGATCAAAAAAAGATGCTAATGATGAGCCCAAGAAAACCGAAAGCAAGCGTGAGTTAGATATTTTAATTCAATTTGCAGTTTCTGCAATAATATATTCATTGTTTCCAGAAGATAAAATGGTAAATGCAGTGAAAAATGTTGCCCAAGAGTTAGGAGGCAATGTGCGACAAACCGAATCCGAGTTGCTAACAAAGCTTTTAGAACCCACGTCAACAACTTTGAGGTAACGACCCTGAAAACTGTTAAGACATACTTTTTTATTACAACATAAAGTAACCTCAAATAATGGTACTGATGATCTCTGAATAAATTTTGAATATGATTTATATTGAGTAGAGACAGTCAATCCAAATATTGTGCTATTTTAACCATTCACATGTACCATAAACTTTTCAACTATCTATTTTTCTATCAATCTAACTACTAGTCGCATCTGAAATTTCAGCGAGATAATCAAGGACATGAAAATCGATAGAGAACCAAAATCTGTGGAACAATCAAAGGCCGATGAAGTCAGAAGCATTCTACAGCAAGTACACTCCAGGCAAGGAGGAGACCCGTCAAAACCAGAGAAGAGAACCAGAAAAACCATGCAAATGAAGCCAAGACAAGATATGTAAGAAAATATTCCCTCGATAGCGTTTTAAGAAATCAAACCTTTCAGAAAACATTCAATGTTCCACTTTCAGGGTGATCCAAAGAATAGACCTCTTCGGAGCGAAACCTCTAGGCATATTCACAAACAAGGATTCCTTGAAGGAAGTGCCCGGCAATGAAACGTGGCAGGCAATGTATGAACGCGATCTGAAGTTATGCGTCACTCACCCGCCTAGCAATTACTTCCAACAAATGATTTCGTGGACGGAGCAGGGAAAGTTGTGGAACTTCCCAATTGATAATGAACAAGGTAACGCTGGCTATCAATCTGTTGCACAAATTCAATCAATCAATCAAAATTGTGTTTTATTATCTTGACAAAGTGGTGTTATGTCCGCCCTTGGCCAAAACCAACATCACCAAACCCGTATCCCACATCCCAATCACCTCGATGAACAGACGGACCACCCAAAAGCTCTTCCTTCAGTATTCATGGAGTTACTGACAGAGTGATCCGAATTCTGAAGAGGCACGATATAAGAACAGTATTCACATCCAACAATCAAATTTCCACTTTTCTAAGAACACCTATGAACATGAGCTTGCTGTTCGTAAATCAGATCCAGTCTCATCCCTCTTCAAACATCATCGTTAAACAGGCAGGGTGACTGGGAACGATTAAAACACATCACTACACATTTATCCAAATTAAGATCTGAGCAATTCATTCTACACCAATCGGTTAATTAGTTTAAATCAGATTGAAGTCTCAGAAAGTTATTATAGGGTTCAATCTGATCAAGATGTAACGCAAATTCATCAGCAAAAATTGATCCTTTTGAGTCAACTAGGTCAAAAATAAGTTCAAAAAAAATGTTGAGCAAACTTTGATTTACTATAAAGGTGCCCATCAAATTTTACAATGTTTGTATAGATATATTATCTATGTTAAGTTCATGTTGATAATCATATTCAAGCATATAATAATATGTATGTATGTATATTTATTTATATTTTTTCAAGTTTCAGTTTTGATCTATCTTTTTTGTGCTCTGTTCCTACTTATGTTTTGAATTATTGTTTTTTTTTTTCCTTGCAATTTGACTCAGGCTCAATATTTTTGTCTTTCAGGTTTGGATGAAGAAAAGAAGGTGTACTTCGCCAAGCACATCTTTCTAGAGGAGCATTTGGAGCCGTGGTGCCCTTCGCGGGGGCCAATTCGACATTTCATGGAACTGGTCTGCGTTGGCCTTTCGAAAAATCCATATCTCACCGTCGAGGCCAAGAAGGAACACATAGATTGGTATAAAAACTACTTTGAGGACAAGAAGAAGCTGCTTCAGGAAGTTGGGGCGTTTCCCGTCGAGGCCAAGCAAGCTCAAAAATCTGTTGAATAGTACCGAGATGTTGGTTTAGTTGTGATAAATTAATTTTCTAGTTTGTCGAAAATTTATTTCAGAACCGAGATAATATGCCTGAAATGTCTGCAAACCGATATGTCGAAATCCTCAGTAACTTATCTAATAGTGATTCGACGATTCTCTGTAACAATTGTCTTCACTTTCTCAGCATTTTCATCGGTTGTTGATTTGCTAGTGCGTCCAGGTCGAGCGTCGTCATTTATATCTTCTCGACCATCTGTGGAAAGCTTTTACCACTTGTGAACATTTTTTGACTCCAAAGTACAATCACCATATGCCACTGTCAGCATTTACAAAAAAATATGCAAATTCTTTGATCTATTTTTTCGATAGCAGGAAATCGATGAACAAGCAAAGCATTTCTACCTTTTTGATTCTCACCAACAAACTAAACATAATGAATCGATATTATTACCATTTCAATTCGTTTTTCCAGTTTTTGATATATTGAGAAAATTACACAACACAACAAAAAAATATTTTTTGAATGTTTCCTACACTAAATTAGTCAATTTCTACTAATTTTGGGGTGATAAAAACGAAAATAACAATGAAAAATTTTTATTAGCTCTGGTTTTTGAGATACACAGTACTNCTACTGAGTGTTCCCTGCTAAGTTATAGTTCTGTTCATCACAGAACTATAACTTAGAGCAGGGAACATCTATTCAATGAAAAATTATTTATTTGCAAACTGACTTTTAAAATCGCTACTTTCGCACAGGCACCGCTATCTTTAAGAGCGCCTTAGGGATTTTCCTGTAGTGCTTGTTTTGTCCTTAAAAAAACAAAATAAAAATAAAACGAAAATATTTGTTATATTCATTATTGAAATAAACTCGTACAACTCGCGAAATAATGAGACACCCCCAATATCTAATGGGAAGTGTTTCTAAGTAATTTCTAGAAATATTCCTAATAGCTAGCAATACTTCTCCGCGACAATCTGAAGACATGCGTCAAGCCTCACATACTGCAATAATAATAATAAAAAAGCTGCCAACTATATCAATGCCTTGTTTCTGTCTTAATTTTGATTCGCTCTTCTTTGTACATACATGAAATATGTAATTAATTCAAAAATGTCCGTTTTAGAACCTCCAATATACTAAAAATTATGCTGAAAATGAGTTGGCAAAAATTTTGGCAAGTTGAAAGTGAGATGAGACTTTTTGCAAGGTTATTTCCAGAATTTTCTTCTCACCTATTCTCAGCCCAATTATAGTACATTGGCAGATTGGATTCTTTCAAGAAAAGCTCTTGAAAATGTGAGACGTTGCAAATTGCGATAATCGTTGGAAACTTTTTAACAATCAATAACGAACATTTACAATTAGATGAGACTCGATGCATACACTTGAAAACATAAAACTTACATTAAAATATTTACTCTGCGTCTTTCAATAGTATTTTTGAATCTTCGATGCAGTAAATCAGAAAAATAAGATAAAAACAATCAAGTATTTACTCTCCTAAATACGAAATAAATATGCCATAATAATCAAATACATTTCAAAATAATTATAGAAATAAGTCATTCTGTTTATCTGAAATAATATAAATTTTTTGCTTTTGTCATCGACATAAAATTTCAAAAATAATTAGTAGTTACAAAACACCCTGTATGTACCACCAACTGCATTAAGATTTTGCTTTGATATGTCAGTGGTTGCTTATTTGTGTTGTTAGCATTCATGAAACTGATATTTTTGTGACTGTAAATCCAATATTTCTCCTCTCAAAGTGTACGAAATCTAAAACTCAATCGGATTCAAAAATATTTGTAGACAACTAGATACATAAATGATCGATGTTTCATCTTATAATACTCAAATCATCGCTCAATCAAAGCTCAAGATATTACGGAATATTTTCGCCGTGGCGCCATCTAGCGCAGATCACAACAATATCGTTATTTGTAAACAAATATATGTATATTGAAAGAATCGATGGTTCATCTTATAATACTCAAATCAAATATTACGGAATATTTTCGCTGTGGCGCCATATAGCGCAGATCACAACAATATCGTTATTTGAAGACAAATATATATAGAAAGAATCGATGTGTCATCGCTTAATCAAAGCTTAATATATTACGGATTATTTTTCACTGTGGTGCCATCTAGCGCAGATCACAAAAATTTCGTTATTTGTAAAGAACTATATATAGAACGAATCGACGTTTCATCTTATAATATTCAAATCATCACTTAATCAAAGCTCGAGTATGTTACACAACTTTTTTCGCTGTGGTGCCATCTGGCGTAGATCACGAAAATATCGTTTTTATGAATGCATCAAGAAAACCAAAATAACTTGTTTTGATATAATTTTTAAATGAAATACGAGTTGAAATGAACTTCAATATCATTTTTCTCACGAAAATGACATGTCCTCAATCCATGAGGCAGAGCTGCTCAACAAATCACTATATTAGCAACGTAGATGTGATATGTAGGGGGCGCTGCGTAAAATAGTGACACGTAAGGCCAAAATGTCATTACCGACAGAGTCAATTCTCACCAGTGATGCTAAAAAACAAAGCACTGGAGTGAAATCTGTCTGGTTCTTCGATTCAGGACTTGAAATTAACTCTCTATCTTTCAATAAACTTACAAATTCCTTTCAAGGTGAAAAATGTTTGTAACTACTCCTGATTTTCTGTTTGTGTGTTTCCTTCGAATCTAACTCGAAAACGTCAAAATAAAATTCTATAACAAGAAGAAATCTTCGTTTCCTTCAACAGTAACGATGGTCAGTGTCAAAACACAAATACTCAACTAAACTAGAACCCACTAACCAACTAACTTGCTTATCGTGATCTTATAGTAAAAGTATTTGGATTCGTAAAGCATAGGCTTGAGCAAATTCCACGGAATGCTTATTCCCGTCGCATGGGCTGTGTTCGGGATCATCGTCATCTTCTGGCAGATGTTGTTGAAGCTGATGTAGGTAGCGAGAGGAGACTGATCAATTATTTGGAAGAGGAAGCGATATTTGGGGTCGCCGTCCTCCGTGCCCATGTGTTGCAAGTTGAACTTGTACGGGTTCAAATTGGAACCTGAGAAACGAAAAAAAAATCCTTCAAACTAGGTAGAAACATACGAGGGTGGTCTGATAAGTTTCCGACCTCAACATGAAGATGGCAGCACTCGTAAATAAAAGCTAGTGAATTTGGTTGTTCATCTTACGACAGTTTCAGATGTTGATGTGAGTTGATGTCAGTGTTTTTATGAAAAAGGATAAAATCGAATATCGAGCTGTCGTTAAATATTTGTTTTTGAAAGGCATTACGTTCAAGCAAATCAGAGATGAGTTGGATTCCATGTATGGTGACTCTGCACCATCATTTACCACAGTGAGATTTTGGGTAGCTAAATTTAAACGTGGCCGTAAGAGTTTGGGAGACGATGAACGTTTCGGACATCGCCAAAGTTCACCAAATGATGCTAAACGACCGCCGAATTGAAGTGAGAGAGATAGCGGAGGTTTTGAACAAGTTAAAAGAAGGTATTTGTCACATATTAAATCGAAATTTAGGCATGACGAAGCTGTCCGACCGTTGGGTGCCGCGTTTGCTCACGTTAGACCAAAAAAATGTTCCAATGAATATTTCCAACGCAGTTAAGGTGCCATGAATCCGAGTTTTTGCACTAAATAATTACTGTAGATGAAACTTGGATACACCCGAAATGGAAACACAGTCCAAACAGTGGACTGCAAAGGGGGAATCGGCAACAAAACAAACAAAAACTGTTTTTAAGGCTGGGAAAGTGATGGTAACGGTTTCTTGGAGTAGTCATGGAGTTATTTTGTTCGATTATGTATCCTGTTGCACCAAGACAACGCAACGTCTCACACCTCAGCGGTTGCCATGTCAAAAATCAACGAATCACGGTTTGAACTTCTTGACCATTCGCCTCACTCACCAGATCTAGCCTCAAGTGACTTTTTTATTGTTCCTTCATCTACAAATTGCACTTGGAAGACAGAGATTTTCGTCAAATGAAAAAGCTTTCACCTTCTTGAACAATCATTTTGCAGAGTTTTTTTTTTTTTTAATATCAATGATTTACTCTGAATTGAATGCCGGTGAAGTAGCCGCCGCAATTTTTTGCGATATTTCAGAGGCATTTGATTGCGTCAATCATAAAATTTTACTAAAAAAACTTCATAAATATGGATGTAGAGGTGTAACGAACACTTGGTGTGAATCGTACCTTTCAGGTCAGAGCCAAATGGTGAGGACAACAGAACTCTCGGAAAACAAGGCAATTAAATATGATGTACCACAGGGTTCTGTGTTAGGCCCTATTCTATTTCTGTTATATATGAATGACATCTCTATGATTGACATATCTGGTAGTTTCACTCTATTCACAGATGATACTACAATATTGTGGAATGAAAAAACTCACTGGAGCTAAATAAAATAATATCATTTGACTTGAAGAAGGTGAAGAGCTGGTGGGAAGCGAATTTACTCTCTCTCAATGCATCCAAAACGAATATATCATTCAAATGTTTGCTTGATGAAATTCCAATAGACGCTGCCATATTACAAAGCAAATTAAACGCATGTATGCAAAAAAGAGAATCGTGGTTCAAGGTACGATATACGAGAGGTCCATGCTGCAAAATTGATTACGTTATGAAATGTAAATTCAGATCGTGCACAGACTATTCTTACTTGGCCAGATTGTCCTGTCAGCTTAGGCCATATGAAGAAGAAGAACTGTTTCTGCTACTGAGTGTTCCCTGCTCTAAGTTATAGTTCTGTGCATCACAGAACTATAATTTAGAGGTTCCCTGTTCCCTGGTACATAGTACATATCCATAAATATGTTATTCCCACATGTGCAATTACTTTTAAAAAAAGTAATTATACCTAATAATAATAATAGTTCTTTATTCTCCAGAAGGACAATACAAGTATTCTATTCTATCTATCATCTATATTTACATTGTATTTCTTGGACTTTATCAATAAGATGCAAATTTTTGGCAATTAAGTATATTTTGATTGGATTTGATTCTCAAGAATAAATAACTGGGAAATTTTCTGATAATTCTTGAGAATGAATTTATACAGGGTATCCAGCACTTTCGTTGAATAGGGAAAAGCTGTACGAATTGCCATGAAAAATTTCTGTCTCTAAAATTTCAACTATTTCATTTCACATAGATCTTGATAAAGCCGAGGAGAACATACCAGAAGAAGGTCAATAAAAAGTTAGTAGATAGATATCACTTTCACCGCCAGGACTTGAACATTCTGCTAAAAAAAAAAGATGTCTCACCTTTGATGCTGAACCTGAAAAGATCCCCAAAGGCATACAGCACATAGAAAGACTCCTTCTTGGTGGAAACGTCCCGCACGTGGACAGTATTCAACGACATCAGATCATCGGGGTGCTTTTCAATGATATGCGAGTACATCGCCGGCTTGAGGCACTGGTGACCGCATTGCAGTATGCAGAAGGTTTCGGTTAGTTCGCACAAACTGTCGTGGCCTCGTATTCCGTCCGAAGTTGATACGAAGGAGCATCCAATTTCTCTATTCCTGCACGGATAGTGGACTTTTCTGGTTAAATTCTCGAGGGTGAAGTTGCGGGAACTCGAAAGCTCGCAGCGACAGTTTGGACATGTTTTTATCCTGGACTTACAACCTTCGCATAAGCTGTGACCTGAGAAGTATTTCGTTTCTATCAATGGAACTCGAAATGAATACACTAGTCACCATTATTACGGTGTCAAAGCTACCTTCCATTTTTTTTGCCGTCATCCCACATATTCCTTGCTCCAGAATTGCAGCAATGTCTACCGCAGCAGTAGACGAAACTTCAAGTATGAAAACCTGCAGACCACGGTCAAAAATCCCGGAAAAATAGCTTTCACACAGTTATCTTCGGCCGTGAACGTTTACACTTCTTCGAGCTTTATTATTATCAACATTACTTGAACAAACTTGAACCTCACCTGCTTGACAAATATATATTGGAGGAATCATGAACTCGTTACAGACCGGGCACTCCAGCTCCTGAAGAATATTCTCATCGATGGGAAGAGGGGCCGGCTTGAACAACTTAGGAGACAGAGAAATCTCGTTGATAACCCCATTACAAATTTGCATGATCTCCTTTTTGTTTTTCTTAACAATACCGAATCGCCCGTACACGACATTGGTGTGTTGCAGCAAATCCTTGATCTTCTCGATATCCAAGAGCATCATCTTTGAAGGGGTTTCCAAATTCACCTTCATGCAACCTCGAAAAAAATCATATCATTGGAAATAGTAACACTCATCTCAAAGGTTCACAAGACAAAATAATGAGCAATTCAGAAAATATCAAAGAACATTTGCAGGTATAAAAAACAAAATTTCAGAGACACACCTACATACACACACATACATACTTACACAAACACACCTACATACTTACACACCTACATACATACACAAACACACCTACATACATACACACCTACACACATACACAAACACACCTACATACATACATACACAAACACACACCTACATACATACATACACACACACACACACCTACATACATACATACACACCTACATACATACACAAACACACCTACATACATACATACATACATACACACCTACATACATACACAAACACACCTACATACATACCTACACACATACACACCTAAATACATACATACACAAACACACACACACACACCTACATACATACATACACAAACACACCTACATACATACATACATACACACCTACATACATACACAAACACCTACATACATACACAAACACACCTACATACATACACAAACACACCTACATACATACCTACACACATACATACATACATACACAAACACACACACCTACATACATACATACACAAACACACCTACACACATACATACACACCTACATACATACACATACATACATACACAAACACCTACATACATACACAAACACACCTACATACATACACAAACACACCTACACACATACATACATACCTACACACATACACACCTACATACATACACACATACACACCTACATACATACATACATGCACACCTATAGCTTGTCAAAACTAGGAAGAGACTTGAGAATTAGATCTCTATCCACTTATGTGGATCTTCTTGGTTTGGTGACTGTGTGCTGCTCTGTTTGTATTTAGGTTTCTGTTAATACGGACTAGACAGACAGTCTTCAGTATAAATAGTGAATGAAAGCAGGAGTCTAAGTATCTTGCACCAAAATTAAATATCGGACAAACCAAAAGAACTTTTTCCAAAAGAATGAAAGAACATAGAAGTAGTTTTACGAACCATTTTTTGACAAAGGGGCACAAAGTTCAATCACGATTATTATGTATTGTATTTCGAATAGAAAATTCTGATTTATTGCTCGTTGATCAAAAAGATTGGAACTGTTCTCTTTATTGAGTTCAGTAAGCAACAAGGAAATTGGTACCTATGGTAGATCCTAAAAGTACATTAAATGATGGCTTGGATAAAATTGTATTCATTATTCTCCAGTTTTTCTTAGAAATCTAGATTTTCATCCAGTATTAGTCAGCTCTGTCAAAAAATAGATTAGTAGTCCTACCTAGTGGCTGGAGACTGGATTTGCGCAGTATTATAGAGTCTTTTCTGCTTTCATTGTATAATTCCAACTGGTAGCGGTAACACTGGCTCTCGATACTGTTGCCGTTCAACATCAGCAAACAGTAGAATTTGTTTTTGGAGTCATACTTGATGACAACGGTGACTAATTTAATCCCGACATAGGTGAAGAAAATGTGATTGCTTTCAGAGCAGTCGTGCCATTCCAATTCAGGAGGGGTCTTGATGTAGTCCTTGTGAGATGACTCGATGTGGTTGTTGAGACTGTAACAATAACAGATATTTTCCACGTACACTTTTCATGAAAATTCTACATTCAGAGATTCCCTTCTTGTTAATGGGAATGCACTAATCAAAACATACAAATCAATTATGATTTTTGTTGGAACAAACTTGCAAAGTTTCATCTGAAAATATATCAGTAAAATCACGATGTACAAATAAATTTATATCATTTATTTTTATCGTTGTTTCTTCTTAAACAAAATGAATAATGAAAAACCTACCTATTCACCAATCCTGTCCAATCACAACCTTTGTCTGGAAAGAGTTCGGTATGTGACAGGGGGCAAATTATCTTTTGATATTCACAAATTAGTTCATGGTCCAGAACCTGGTTCCATTTGAGAAGAGCCCCGCAACCCAATTTTTTGTTAGCGCAAGGATAAGTGAAGAGTTGAGCCAGATTTTCGTAGGCATACTGCCTCCATACATTCTCGTCCTGCTTCAATTTGTCATTGCACCTTCCGCAGACTTCTATGATGGAATCCCCCTCTTTGACGCAAAATACCGGACTCACGTTCAGGAGATTTTTACAGTTATTGCAGATGATTTTCTCCAAGGATGCTTTATCCCTTATTTTGAATGCTTCATCCATTTCCGTGAACCCAAAAAATAGTTGATTTATCAAAATTTAAAAGGGGATTGGCTGACACTTTAAAACAGGTTTGCTGGAAAATATAAGAAAAATAATCTCTGATGGAAAAGATAAGGACGATAAAAACAAATTGCAAAAAATGGTAGAACCTAACATTCAAATAAAAACAAATAAAAAAGTTGACAGGTAAATGAAATTCTGAATTATCACGGTGGGGGCTACATCTAGGTTCAATTCAAGATACAGGAATATTTTAGGACTCATGGTTTGAAGATTCAAACGTAAAGTTGTGGTTAAACAAAAATCCGTGCCAGCTATTCACACGAATCGTTGTAGTTTCTTGCGTGCTTCCCAAAAATAATTTATCTCAACCAAAGTGTACACCTAGTGCCTGGTGTACTCTTTGATATGAACTACTCTATCACAGAATAGTAAACTTCTACCAACCACAGAATAAAAACCTTTCTATTCTGTGACGCTAGTCAAACGTCAAACCATAGTAGCATCGTATAGAAGTGTTTACTTCTACGGTGACAGTAGAAAGCTAAGTCAAACTGTCAAACCAGAAACAGCTGACTGTAATAACGGAACGTGAAACAGGTTATGAAATGATTTGGGCTCTACTATGTTATGAGTTTTTGTGAGAGTCATGTTTTTTGGTGTGATCATTATAGATATGAGAAAATGATGAATAGGTTAAATTAATCAGTTTCGCTTAAGGGGAGTATAAGAAACTTCGACAGTATGTAAAATAGACGACAGGACTTTTTTTTGTTTTGCCATCTGTCTTAGTTTATAATGTATCTACTAGATGTCGTATCCCTATTCATCAGTTATTCTTGTCTATAATGAACGTATCAAACATTACTCTTCCAAATTCACAGTCAAACATCTAAAAACACAATAAAAGCCAAAACAATAAAAACGATCTCTGCTATACATTCAGTTGATCCGATTAGTAGATTATCATTTGATTGGCGCCATCATCGGTATATTTTTTTTCCTATAGTTTGCAATTAGCAATAAATTCTATAGCAAGAGTCACCAACATTATAGCATAAAAGACCTCCGTTTTTCAGTCTCCTATATGAAGTGTGTTTTATCAACACTTATTTCAAATGAGGTCCTTCCCGTTAAAAATTATATGACCATTATCTTTGATTTTGACATAAAATTATTCTTATCTCGCTTTATTGTCAGCATGACTTACTTGGGGAATTTCAGAAGGGATTCATCAGAAAGTTTGGCTCAAGTGATTACGGTATTCAACATCAGCATTATTGCTGAGCTTGATTTTTCAACAGAACTTAGCATTGCATAATATACGGAGAATTCGAGCATCAGTGTTGCACATCACACAAAAAAACTTAGGTTGGCTCAATTGTGAAAACTATTAAGGATTACAAGAGGCAATCTGTACCTCAGAGAAATAATATATTTTTTATTACTCTTGAGGTCTGTACCAAATCACACAGAAACGCTTCCAGGTATATAATACTACTGATGAGGATGGGTTTAACATTTGCCATTCAAGTCAAATTGTGTTTGCCATTCAAGTCAAATTGTGTTTGTTAAATCAAATCTGAGCACTCGATTAGCTCGTTCCACTCGGCAAGCATTCAATAATGCAGATCTGTTTTCTTAATTACATCTGCTCTGTGTTCTGTATTTACATGAGAGAGAAAAAAAGTGTTAGCGGTTTTGAAAATTGGTTGAGTTTAGATATTTTTTGAAAAATTTATTTTGGTAAAATTTTTGAGTCTTATCTGCACATACTATCGTAGAAATAACCTCATCGATCATATATCACAGATTTTGCGATAACAGATAATAACACAAATGTCGACTTGTCATTCAGAAATAATTTTACTGTGATTGAGCGTTCGTTAAATATATCTCGCTCCGTTGACTCTGTGATCACTTGTATCTAATATCATCTGTTCCTCAGAGTAATATGAGATCTGTTCGCTTGGCTCCAAATTTAAGATCGAACAAACCTTCAAAAGTTGACATTTCTTCCAAATAACAACAAAGTTTTTTGAAGTAGTCAACAAGGAATATTACTGGAGTTTTTTCCCCAACACCAAATCGTTATTTTTACACCTCGACACTGTTTCGATCACCAAGTCAACAAGGATTTAGGAAATTTTGAATGGATTTTTTTTTAAATTCTAGACACGTTTCGCTAACACCGCAGCTTCATCAGTAGTAATAAATAGTATAGTACACATTGGTCTACAATTCTTATATACAACAGTAAGTTAGCTCACTTAATGGTTAATAGTAAATGAGATAACAGGTAGACTTTGTAAAACATTACAGCCTCAGTTCTTGGATAGAAGGTAAATTTTGAGATAACAAGTAGAAATTCGTAAAGCAATTACAACTCAGTTCTTGGATAGCAATTAATTTTTAATGTGAATAAAATTATTGGCATTATGAAAAAAAAAGTTTAACGGTTGTGAGTGGTTAGCCTCTTGTTGATCTTTCAATGAAGAATTTGGATGTTTGTGCCCTTGTTGATTTCCAAAGAATCCAGCAGCTTCAGTTTCTGTGATTATTTGCTATAGTGTGAATATTCATCGGGTTTGAAGGCTGTGGATTTTTGGAATTTCTTCCTATTATTTGCCATTATGTAATATTGTAGAAATTGTGATTGTTCTCCAAATTTATGAAATACAAATTGTTCTTGTTGAAGAAACATTTTTGTAGATTTTTTATCAGAATAAAGGACGAGAAAATGGATGACGAAGCGGATTTGAACAAAATGCTAGAAGTCCTCAAGCATAGTAAAGAGGTAAATCTGTGATGTATTAAAAATATTTCAAAATCACATCAAACACCTTTTTCTTCAGGAAAACGAAGACGATGACGAATTTCAGTACGGAGGTTTCATAAATTATGATGATAGTGATTTGGAAGAGTGTTTCGTAAGTATTTCATAAATTCTCTTATAATTTGTATTCCCTTAGTATTGACTCAAAAGTCTCAAAAATCAGTCACATTTTGATTTCTGTGCTACACTAATGTATCTATTGAATCAGATACAATAAATTCAAGACAAGGGTATGAGTATAATTTTGAGATGCTTTTTTTTCTTGAAGATATTCGTTCCATTTTGTTTTCAGTGTCATACACTGAAATTACTCGAATTTATTCGCAATAAAATTCATATTTTCAATTTTTAAGAATGTCTATACATTATAATAACGTAAACAAAGTTTTACTACTGATTTTTTTCTCTGCTCTTGGACAGGACGACGAAAACGCAGACCTAATAGAACCTTACGAATCCCAGGACTGTCTCAACTCTCTAGATCTAAGCTCATTGTACAAATACAATCCGATATCCTCGCTCAAACCCGAAGAGAAGCGAATAATCGATTCGTGCTCCGACCCAGATCTGAAAAAGATCCTCCTGCTGAATCGACAGAAGAACATGCACCTCATCCAGCTGTACAAAAAAATCAAAGACCTGCTCATAGAGTGTAAACAAAACATAGTGGAAAAGAATGAAATCTTCAAGCAGTGCAAGGATGCGACTAGAGGAACGCACTTCACAGCTGGTGCGTGGCGTTTGGGGGCCCCTTACTTCAAAGACAGACAACTGTACTGTTGTCCCTCTAACAAAGATACTCTTAGGAAGCGGGCAAATAACGAATTGACCATCTATGACGTGATGCCTAGCCCCAAATGGACCAGGTATTAAAATAATAATAATATGTTTTCATCCATTATTATTTGTGATGGAATCGGTTGTATATAACATATTCAAGAAACATTTTATTGTGATATTTTCACTAAACAGTCTAAAAAAAACGCAACACAAGTTTCGCTTGATAGTAGCTTTCTTTTTTTCGCTTCTACAATTTTAATTCGATATTTTGGAGTTGATTATGTAAATAACTTTTAATGATATAGACTGCACTACTGTTGAACCCAAACTATTTCGGTTTATAAGGTGATATCGATACATCCATAGTTATGAACGCTTTTCGATAATCAAAACAATACTAAACTCATTTTACTGTCATTAAGGTCTGAGTGCGAGTTACTGGTAGACGCTGTCAAATTGAACTATAACATCAATCAGCAAAGTGAAGTGAATCGGAAGATCATAAAAGTCACTTCGAGCGGAGGATCAAAAGAGGAACTCGAAGAGCTGAATGCGAGGCTTCAGGAATTGAGCGAAAATGGCAATAGCGAGATTCCCCCTCTGAATTCGGATGAAAATATTGATTGGGAAAAAGTGTCAGAGGTTTTCATTGGAGGTGAGTCGTGTCCCATGTACAAATGTCTAGTACTTTTATAAATTTTTTCAATAACACTTCTTTTTAAGCTTCACCTGTATGTATGTATGTTTATTTGCTTGTAACTCTCAAGCTCGGGATCTGTATTTGACGGAATTATCGGCATTATCGCTTGATCTATTCGCGGGCAGATGGCACTGTATGTAACCTCCTCGATATTTCGACATTATTGCTTGATCTATTCGCGGGCAGATGGCACTATACCTAACAAGTTGATGTAATCTACACAGACCTAGCAAAAGCATTCGACAAAGTGAAACATGAAGTTCTCATCGCCAAATTAAGGAAATTCTCAATGAATCAATCAATGATAACATTAGTGAAGTCATATCTATCAGATAGAGATCAATTTGTTGCTTTCAATAGAAAAAAGTCGACACTATTCAGATCAACCTCTGGTGTTCCTCAGGGATCAATTCTAGGCCCACTTTTATTTATAATGTTCATTAACAATATAGGTGATTATATAAGACATTCCAAATTCCTGCTCTATGCAGATGATCTCAAACCATCAACGATGAAAGAGACAGTGAAAACCTTCAGAAAGACTTAGATTCTATTACCATCTTTTGTGAGACGAACAACTTAATGCTGAATGAGGGTAAATGCAAAGTTATGTCTTTTTCACGGAAAAATGTTATTATTCCACCAGAATATTCAGTAAATGGCACCAAACTTGTTCAAATCAAAGATCTAGGAGTCATATTTAATAGTAACTTCAATTTCAGAAAGCACATAGAATATATTGTTTGTGATGCAAACAAAGCTTGGTTTTGTGTTAAGAAACGCCAGAGATTTCAAATGGGAACTAGGAATTCTTCTATTCAATGCCTTTGTCAGATCAAAGCTTGAATATACTTCAACAATTTGGAATCCCCAAACAGGATTTCATTCAGAGATAATAGAAAAAATACAGATAAAAATTCTCCCTCTATGATTTCCTATAGGACTCAACTAGAACATTTTGACATGCCAACCCTGTCGGATCGTCGAGACTTGAATGATGTACTATTTATATTCAACATATTTAATCAGATAATAAATGTACCTGAACTCCTCAGTGTGATCAATCTTCATCAACATCACAAACAAGCCAATACAACTATGAAAAAGAAGAAGACAAAAACCAAAACGGGATATACAGTACACAATGCTCGGACTGCAACTAATTCTATATCGGTCAAACAAAGAAAAAACTGATCTAAAGGTACAAGGGACACAAAAAGGCATACTTAAATCCAATAGTTTATAAATCAAACCTCGCAACACACGCCATACAAAACAAACATAATTTCCCCCCAGCAGAGAACATAAAACTCATGAAATAAGTCAATAAGGGAAACCGCATGGACATTTGGGAAAACTTGAACATCCATAAATTTAACAGTCATTAATCACTTATCGAGGAACAAGTACAAATCAAAACACAACAAGACCTCACATTCAATATATTAAACAAAACCACACACATTCCTAGAGAAGATCTAACACAAAGAAGAGTACCTGATGCAGTACAAATACAGGCAAATTTACCTAAAGTACCTGAAATACTTGAGTTGAGACGTTCTGACTGTATAAAGAGGCAGACGACAGGATGACAAGTTCAGTTTGAGGTGTGCCTAGATGATGACAGTACGACCAGCTGTCGAATGCGCTCGCAGATAATTAAATAAAAGTTATAAAGCTTCAAATCCTTTTTGTGACTCACATTCGATTTTAAAATACTGAAAGTAAAGGAAAATCAGTTGCATCATTCAAAAATATAATTTATTTCAATATGTAGCATATATATTGTCACTTTATGACTACTTTTTCATCCGCAAAATGCTGAAATCACCAAATGTTCAAATATAACTTTCAATTTGTATAACTTATATTCTTTAAAATAATGACACTTTGACAATAATATTTTATCTTCGACAATATCTTTTAAGCTGTGTATCTTATATTTCTTAGAATAGTACCACTTTGTCAATGAGATTTCATCTTCAACAATAAAGTACATTTTGATTTGATTGCAATAATTGATAGTTAAGTACAGCGCCATCTGTTCGCAAGTAGATCAAGCAATATTACGTACAACGCCATCTGCCCGCGAATAGATCAAGAAATATCAATTAGGTCACGAACAGCGCCATCTGCCCGCGAATAGATCAAGCAATAATGCCGATAATTCTGTCAATAGAGATCCCGATCTTGAGAGTTACACACAAACATGCATACAAACAATCATACATACATACATACAGGTGAAGCTATTATAAAGCGTGTAAAATAAAAATGGGACAAACCTGTGATATCTTCCATAATTCAGGAAAATTATCATTTTTAACTGCAAGATTGAAAAGTGTCAGTAAGGGATAGACCAATACACCGATGCAATCTTTTATCAAAAAAGGTGGTATCTTATCAGGACCAGAAGTGAACTTATTTTTTAGTTTACGTGCTGCAATCAAGATTTCCTGTTCGCTGATGTTTTCAAAGTTCACATTATTATAAAAACAATTTGAATTTGATAAGCATGGATGCAAAGTATTTTCATCAACTGCAGAGTTTGAATATGTACTGTGAAAAAAATTTGCAAAACTATTTACAATTTCATCTGGAGAATCAATAGTGAAGCCATCATATTCTTGGAATGTATGTATGACCAAAATGATTGAGGATAAGATACTACAGATTCTTGTATAGAATTTAAGTACAAATATTACCCCAAATTGCAGAAAAACACTCGGATTTCGAATGCCGCTCCGTCTGGCACGTCCACCTGCACCCGTCGTTCAACAACGGCCCCTGGACCGACGCAGAGAATGTCAAGCTTCGAAAACTCGTCGAGAAGTATAAGTGCCAGCGATGGGACGAGATAGCCAAAGAACTCGGTACGAATCGCTCGAGTTTCATTGTTTGTTCCCACTATTTCAGCAGGTTGTACTCGAAATTTAAAAAGGGGGACTTCACGTTCGAGGAGGACAGGAAACTGCTCGAAGTGATCAACAAGTGTCGCATTGGTTCGTACATACCGTGGGTCAAAGTCGTGAAACATTTCAAGTTCAGGACGAGGTCGCAGCTCCATCATAGGTATACGTATTACCTCAGCCAGAACGATAAAAAGTCGGGTGAGTTCTTGTGCAGTAAATAGATAGTTTTGCTTTGTCGATAATAATTTATTTATTGATTGATTCATTTATTTACGGCAATGCCTAGTTTTTACAAGATAATCAACTAGTTCACACATATGTATTTAACAGTAATCTAAGCTAGGTTTAAGGAAAAATATATAAA